CCTGCTCAGAGTTCTGGTAAGTGGCCACTCCACACATCACAGACTGCATGGTTGACTACAAGGTGAGGGCGCTGCTTGCAAACATGAGTGGACACAGGGCTGAGGTGCTGGGGCAGACAGGATGGAGGCAGTACAGACGGTTTGTGGGCTGAAAAGGAGATAGCAGACAGATACAGTAGGCATTCTATAGACTTTGGGGGAGACAGGACAAAGACAGTTTGTTGGCTGCGAGGGAGACAATTTCAAGTCACTGTCTCCAACATAAACTATTTGAACTCTACTATTCTCAGCGATGTATTTGTTCAGCAAATGCTCTTCACAATACCGCCAAATGAATAGCTAAAAATCAACAGACTACATTTTCTGATCAATATTCAAACAATCTTAACGTCGACACAATAAAATAATAGTTAATACTTCCTTTTTTGCTCTGCTTACCATTTTCATGGGGTCTTGGTTCAACTTCAACTAAATCAACTAAAAGTTTTTTTTAAAAACTGCAAATACTCTCTATACAGGCATACAAATGGCGTGGCCATATACTAGTGTGAAGGTCAGGAATTCTCCCATTCTCAAACTACTATTTATACCTTGATGTTTTCACATCTGCTGCTGAGCTCTGCTCTCAGGTTCTGTTGGCAGCCAAAGACTTGTCTACTTCAACTGCTCCCTTACCCATATTCCAATGGAGATATGCCATGAAACTTGTGATGTCTCATAGTCACCAGTGACATCATAATTGAGCTTCCTTTCATAGCTGTGCTTTTCCTCAGCTCATGTTTGTAGCTCTGCATATTTTCAGTCTATACGCTGTTCTCTCACAAACATGAGCAAACAGCGGTTCACGCAACTCTGTTACACCTCACTTCATTCACCTCGCCTTCTCTATGTCTCCCTACCTCCCATTCTCTTCTCTACCCTTTTCTCCCCATTTGATTCTCTCCCTCTGTCTGCCTCTCTTCCATTCTCTTTGCCCTTTTCTCCCCATCTATTTGATTTTCTCCCTCTGTCTGCCTTTCTTCCATTCTCTTCTCTGCCCTTTTCTCCCCATTTGATTCTCTCCCTGTGCCTCTCTTCCATTCTCTTCTCTGCCCTTTTCTCCCCATCTATTTGATTCTCTCCCTCTATCTGCCTCTCTTTCATTCTAAATGTAGTTAATAATCCACAATGCATTACTAGTTATAATTAATTGCAGTACGTATGATATGTTTGTATGCGGATATGTATGACATGCAGGCATGTGTAGGCGTATTTGTGGATGTATGATTATGTGTATGCATGGGTAACTGTATACGTTTGTGTGTACGTATCTGTGTGTAGGCGTGTGTCAGTGAATGTGTCTGTGTGTATGGTGTCTGGGTGCTTCTCTGTAGGTGTGCCCGTGAGCGTGTCTGTTTTTGTGTCTCTGTGTTGGCTTGTCCATATGCGTGTTTTTATGTGCATATGTATGTGTGTCTGTAAGCGTGTCTGTGTGTGTGTCTGTCTAAGTGTCAGTGTGCGTGTCAGTCTGTGTTGTGTGTCTGTGTGTGTGTTTTTCTTTAAATGTCTATCTGTATGTGTGGCTGCGTGTGTGTATGATTGTATGTGGATATGTGTGGGTGTAGCTTGGCTGCATGTTTGTCCGTGTGTGTGTGTCTGTCTGTTTGTGTATATCTATGCTGTGTCTGTAGGTGTTTCTGCTTGTGTGTCTATGCCTGCATGTGTATGTGGCTGTGTGTTTCTCTGTGTGTTGTTTCGTGTGTATTTGTATGTTCATCTTTTTGATAATGTGTGTGTGCGTCTGCATGTGTGTGTGGTGTGCGAGTATTTGTGCGTCTGTGGGTTTGTTAGTATGTGTTTGTGTCTGTCTCTGTGTGTGTGTGTGTGCCATTATGTGTCTGTAGGTGTGTATGGCTGCATGTGCATCTGTGTCTGTCTGTGGCTGTGCGTGACTTTGTGTGTATCTGTGTGAGTCTCTATCGGTGTGTCTATTATTTAATGTCTGCGTGTCTCTGCTTGTGTTGGGTTATGCGTCTGCGTGTATGTCTGTGTGCGTATGTGTGACTCTGTGTGTATATCTGTGTATGTGTGGGTGTTGCGCATGTCTATGTGTGTGTCTGTTTCCCTGCTTTTGTGTGTGTGTGTGTGTTTGTGTGTGGCCGTGACTGCATGTGTGTGTGTCTGTATGTGTCTGGGTTGTATGCGTGTGTGTTTCAGAGCGTGTGTATGTGTGTGTATGTATGTATGTATGTATGTATGTGAGTTTGTATGTATGTATGTGATTTTGTATGTATTTTTGTATGTACGTAGGTATGTATGTATGTGTGTGCATGTTCGTGTGTATGTGTGTACTGGGTGCCTATGTGTTTGTGTGTAAATGAGTTATGGGCTTGTGTGTGTATGTGGGTGTGTGTGTTCGCACGTGAGCGTGCGCACATATTTTACCACCCATGCTTTTGTTTTTGATTTCATTTCCATAATATGCGTATCATTACATGAAGATAACATGCTTTATTGATGAAATACAACTGCTGTGTGAAAGATGGAAGTTTGGAAGGGCCGAATGTAAGACATCGTTCGTTTGTTCGTTCGTTCTCTTCTGCCCTTTTCTCCCCATTTTTTGCTTCTCTCCCTCTGTCTGCCTCTCTTCGATTCTCTTGCTTTGCTCTTTTCTCTCCCTCTGTTCACTTTCGTGCCTGTCTGTTTGCCTCTCTGTACTGCCCTTTCTGTCTCTGATATCTTTCTCTCTTTCTCTACTTGCATTTGCCCCCCCCCCCCCTCTCTCTCTCTCTCTCTCTCTCTCTCTCTCTCTCTCTCTCTCTCTCTCTCTCTCTCTCTCGCTCTCTCTCTCTCTCTCTATCTTTACATGTTCGAAGGTCCATTTACCCGGCAAAGGGCAATAATAAAGAGAGAGAGAGTGATAGGTGAACCTGTCTGATGTGTGATATGTGTTTGTGATCGGTAAATTCATCTTACGGATAGCAGATGTAAAATATCTTTGGATCCCTCTGATATTGGAGGGGGGGGGGGGGGGGTGGGTGCGATTCGCGGACTGTGAACAAACTTTATTTTCAAGTTTGATGGTTAGGGAGGGGTGGTGCTGATTCATATAGACTCGTGAGGAGAAGCTTATCCAAGGACTTGTATGATTATGCCTTGTATTTTCAGGCTACAAGTTAGAACAGTTGAAGCAACAGTTGGGGGTCGGCATGAAAGAGAAACGAGTTGAAGCCCGACAGAGACGATATGATCAGTTTGCTCTAGATAATGAACAAGGCTTTGAGGAAGAGGAGGAAGAAGAACTGGAATTAGTCGGATCAGATACTGATGATGATGAGGAGGAGGTAGAAGATACAAGGCCATCAGATACTGATGACGAGGAGGAGGCAGTAGAGGATGCAAAGTCATCGGATGCTGGTGAAGATGAAGGTAATGACTGCCACATAAACATGGAAGCTGATGATTCTGATGATGATGATGTAAGTGCTTCAGCTGTATTTGATAGTTTTAAATCATCCTGCCATATGTTTTACTCTTTTTGTGTGTATTGGTGTTTCTGTGTGTATTGGTGTTTCTGTGTATATTGGTGTTTCTGTGTACATTGGTGTTTCTGTGTGTATTGGTGTTTCTGTGTGTATTGGTTTTTCTGTGTATATTGGTGTTTCTGTGGGTACACCATTCTGCATATGGTGTGCTTGTTTGTATGTTTTTGGTATCGTTCTGTCTTTCCGGTGTTATATTTGTTGTACACTCTGGTTTAACCTCTCTGTAGACTATGGGTGTACCTAGCACTTATTTATGTTAGTCCATAAAACATGTATGTTTACGCACTGATACTCCTTAGTATCAACAACCAAGTATTTAGGCCTAGGGTGCCTACTCTAATATTCCGCTGGATATCTCCTTGATGGATGTGCTACAGTCCTGCATACTATAATAACTGGCACACTTGGCACAGCATCAGCTAATACAGTTGTTACTATCTTTACGAGTCAACAATAACGCTTGAGACAGGCCACATAAACTTTAATGTAATTCACAGTATACGGCACAAGATGATGATGATTATTCATTAACATATGTACAATAATAAATCTCTATTATCTACATGGATGATATAAAAGATTACAATCTTTTCTCAATGGACTCCTGCCATTATAATAAACTAAATAGACATTAAACTGTCTCCCGCAAACAACGGTAAATCAAAACCTCACAAAGAGAAACGTTTCTATAATATCCTCATACAGAGAGCCAACACAATGTTTCCGCCATCCCCACGGAAACCACGTCCTACTTGGACAAATGAAATATCTTAACTACCTGAGCCTTTGTCTTCTAAGCCCAGAATTCAATTAGGTCATATAATTACCATCGCCTAGGTAACGACTGGTGGCCGTTGTGTGAACCTTCACTTGTGCTGTTCCCACTAGAAGAAACTTCAACTCTCGGCCAAATAAGATTACAACAATATAGTGCTATGAATCACAGCCCATTGTGATCGCAAATGTGACTAGCAAGACAAACCTGTGTTAAGTCTTCTGCAATGTTTTTACTGTGCACCTTCTCAGATGCTCAACTTTTATCCTTTCTGTAATCATTTTGTTCCTTCATTCTCACTCCTTTCCTGATTTGCCCCCTTCATGCAACATGGTGCATGGCATTTTGTTTTTACCGATCTACCTTAGTATCTGTAACATTCATGTCCCACTTAACGCCAGTTATTCTTCTTAGACATCGCATGTGAAAGCTGGTTGTCAAAACTGCTGCAAGAAGATGTGGAAACAGATTACCAGGTAATATTGAAGAGGAAAGACAACAAAAAATATAGGCTACCTTTGTAGGCTTCGGGGAGAACTTACTCAGTCGCTCCTCTTCTACCTTGGGGTGTAGAGGTTTGCCAGAGAGATTGCCAGACGTCTCTATCAACAGTTTTTTTCGGGGGAGAACAAAGACTGAAAACTCAGTCATTGATTACAAAGTAAATCCACGAAAAAACATCATTTTGGCAAATTTTGGTCTTAGACTTTCAGAATAAATTAGAGGTATGCATGTATTTTTTGTTTTTAGTGTAATACACAAATGATGTGGTATGTAATTGATGTAATAATTGACTAATGGGGTGAAACAAAAGATAGTCCCTCCATTCTACACGCTGGCTTGCTTCTGATTGGTCGACCTTCAGCCTACCTTACTTCTGATTAATCAGCCTCAAGCCATCCGACTTTCACACAAGGTGATGGGGCTTTTCCGCAAGGCCGTTGACATCGCGTCTTGTATATTTAAGCACGCCAGCGCTTTTAACACTACAAAAACATTTAGAAACTGGGTCTACCACACAACCCCCTAGAGAGTGATGAAACCTATGTGAGAATGAAGTCTCTTTCTCGGAATAAAAACGTAAATGCTACACAACTGACCGCCGCACCCATAACCATGACCACTGTAGACTAGTCCAAGAAACTTATCAATGAAATTGACCTACTTTCCGTGGGGAAACTAACATTTTAGTAACGACTAATGTGATATGTAACTGAAGAAAAAAATGACAGATGTAATACATGAGTGAAGTAATGAATGACAGATGTTATACATGAGTAATGAATGACTAAGGTAATTCCTGAGTAATGTAATGAATGACTGATGTAATACATGAAAAAAGTAATAAATGACTGATGTAACACGACTGAAGTATTTAATAACTGATGTAATACACGCATGAAGTAATAATTGACTAATGTAACACATGAGTGAAGTAATGAATGACTGATTAAACACATGAGTGAAGTAGTGAATGACTAATTAAACACATGAGTGAAGTAATGAATGACTAATTAAACACATGAGTGAAGTAATGAGTGACTGATTAAACACATGAGTGAAGTAATGAATGACTGATTAAACACATGAGTGAAATAGTGAATGACTGATGTAACATGAGTGAAGTAATAAATGACTGATGTAACATGAGTGAATTATTGAATAACTGATGTAATACATGCATGAAGTAATGAATGACATATGTAATACATGGGTGATGTAATGAATGACTGATACAGTTTGTGAGTGAAGTAATGAATGACCATTGAAATACATGAGTGATGTAATTAATGACTGAGGTAATAAATGAGTCTCTCGCCATTGCTATTTACTTACATAGATAGAATAACACTGGAGGCAAATACAGATACTTTTTGCAGATGATAAGTGTCAAATACACCACCACAGTTAGAATTTATAACATCATATTGACTCCTTACATCAAGCTTGCACAAAGTATGATATGTAAATATACATAACGAAAACTGAGGTAGTTAGGATAAGCAGGAATCATAATATCATAAACATTTATGTTGACGGTACTACAATCGGACAAGTACAAGCATCCATATATGTAGGAAGCATATTTACGGATAATGGCAGACTCAAAACAGAGATAGAAGTCTGAGAACAGAAGGCAAATGCTATCACCTAGGAGTTGGCCCACTGCTTAGACACCCAAATGTCTCCCTTCTAGCAAAACAACAAATTAATAATACCATCTTTATCCCTACTTTATGTTATTAGTGCCAAACATGGTCAGTGAATAGGGCACTAGAACAGAAAATAACCACATGTGAAATATGCTGTCTCCGCAAGGTCACTAACAACACTAGACCAGATAGTGTGATGAATACCAGCATTAAAGAGAATGTTGAAATAAGACCATGTCTGTATTATATCAACAGACAAATAATGAATGCTTCAGCATCAAGTGAGAATACAGTCCCTGTCATGTTGATGTGCTGTTGCTTGGTATTCACTCATGCCACATTTGTTCATTTGGAACCTTCCGCAGTACCAGTAGAAAATCAGACACAATAATTTTTCTAGTTACTTTATTTTCTGCTATCCACCTCAGCTGCAGGGATTGCCTTCACCTCTATCATAATGCTTGAAGTTGTGGATAAAAATAGCTCCATTTTGTTCTGCCACAATCTTTACCTTCATTCAAGCTGAAAATCTCCAGCCAGATCTTAGACCACGATGAACAGAACCATCGGTGTACACTGTAGCATCATCTAGCCCAGCCAGATCTTATACTCTGATGAACAGAACCATTGGTGTACACTGTAGCATCATCTAGCCCAGCCAGATATTACACTCTGATGAACAGAACCATTGGTGTACACTGTAGCATCATCTAGCCCAGCCAGATCTTACACTCTGATGAACAGAACCATCGGTGTACACTGTAGCATCATCTAGCTTGTGCTAGTGACAGTTTGTAGACGTTACCAATGTCAGCCCAAACATTTACCTCATAGTTCTAATTGGTGTATCTGATGTGCAATGCAATCCAATTCTTATTTATCATTTTTAATCCAATCACGTTTTGCACAGTTACTAAAAGGACCAGATGGTTGAACATTAAGACCAATAATAGTCTTTGTTCCATGTGTGTCGCCAACATAGTCTTCAGTACCCCAAGGTCATGCTTGCTTTTGACCATGCTAACAGTTTGAAATGTGATTGTTGTGATACACAACAGTTTGAAATGTGATTGTTGTGATACACAACAGTTTGAAATGTGATTGTTGTGATACACAATAGTTTGAAATCTGGGTGATGGGATACATGACTCTTATTGCGATATTGATTGCTGTGATACACAATAGTTTGAAATCTGGGTGATGGGATACATGACTCTTATTGCAATATTGATTGTTGCAAATAAAGCAACTAACAGGATAATTTTTTGTTACAGTACACTCCATACTTGGACACGGAAGCTCATGATGAGGATGAAAACCAGGATGAAAAAAAGGAATTCACATTTATCAAGTTCAGAGGAAGACTGTGGAGAGGACAGTCGTGAGTGATATTTCTCTTATGATCTATACTTGTCCAGTAGACATTTTTGTCTCTCTGATTGACTCTCTGTGTGTCCTTCACCTAGTTGCTTTCCTTTCCTCTCACTCCTCCATCTTCCATTGTGTTATTGTATTACTGCCCCTGTGAACATAGCAAATATTTTAACACACAACACCTTGTCCTGGTGACCACCAACACAACTTTAACACACAACACCTTGTCCTGGTGACCACCAACACAACTTTAACACACAACACCTTGTCCTGGTGACCACCAACACAAATTTATTACACAACACTTTGTCCTGGTGACCACCAACAAAACTTTAACAGACAACACCTTGTCCTAGTGACCACCAATTCAACTTTATTACACAACACTTTGTCCTAGTGACCACCAACACAACTTTAACACACAACACCTTGTCCTGGTGACCACCAACACAACTTTAACACACAAAACCTTGTCCTGGTGACCACCAACACAACTTTAACACACAACACCTTGTCCTGGTGACCACCAACACAACTTTAACACACAACACCTTGTCCTGGTGACCACCAACACAACTTTAACACACAACACCTTGTCCTGGTGACCACTAACACAACTTTAACACACACACCTTGTCCTGGTGACCACACACAACTTTAACACTGGTGACCTTGTCCTGGTGACCACTAACACAACTTTAACGCACAACACCTTGTCCTGGTGACCACTAACACAACTTTAACGCAAAACACGGTTGGTGACCAACACAACTTTAAAACAAAACACTGTAATGGTGACCACCAACAAAACTATAACATAAAATACCTTGAACAAAGAAGACACAAACAATAGATTGCACAATTTATCGCCTGGCGAATTTCACTGTCTCATCAGGTACATATTTCAGTAACAATTGATTAAAATGAAGCAGATAAATTAAACCTTTAAACTGAAACACAAATCGACTGCATTCGCACATTGCCTGTTTCACCAAGGTAACTGCAAAGTAACAAGCATTTCCTTCTGTCTCATAGATCTGGATTAAACTGGATGATTGCTGGCGCTTCTGCATATCTCAGTAATCTACGGTTGGCCGAAATGTAAATAATTGGAAATGCATCGTCCTTGTTTGATATGTGCCCAGAATTGTTTTACCACCAGTCACCTGATTCGTTTTTGTTGGTGTTTAGCATTGTATGTCAGCCAGAAGAGGTTTTGTTATTGTTGAAGTCAGTGGCTGGCTGTCATACAAGTTTGCCTGTCCCTTGGTCGTCCAGTGACAATAGTTTCAGGGTTTGTTGATTGTTTGAGATTTTGTTTCCTTTGAGGTACCTGCTTGGCATTTAAGTTGACTTTCTGCATTATTGGTTATGGTGTCAAGTTGCCATGATGTCTTTGTCATTGTCAGTAGTGGTTTTATATCAGATCTGATTGATGTTATCCAGGATGCTGCTAGAGTGTTGACATTGTTGACTCTACCATCCAGAAGTAAACATTTACAACTCCTACACTGATAGCAACACCACCACCATGATTGTGTCTGGGTTTTCATTCAGGTGACACTGTGATCATTCCAAGCTCCAGCAACAACAATCTGGACACTAATGGGGGAATCAGTGATTATGCTACAAGTAAGTCGGAGAAAGCCAGTTCTTGGAGTAACGAGAAGAGACCAGGTAAACCCAAGAGTGTGATGGTTTGTATGTTCTCATTGCTGAGTATGGTTGTGGGTGTTGACAAATATTCAGTCTACACATTCATAGCAAACCGATAACGATTATTAGAATAGAGCAAGTAGTCAATAACCCAACCTGTCTTGGTGTAGTTTTGTTTGAAAGAGTAGAATTCTGCACACCTATACGTATCAAGGAGACCCTGCACACCTATACGTATCAAGGAGACCCTGCACACCTATACGTATCAAGGAGACCCTGCACACCTATGTGTATCCAGGAGACCCTGCACACCTATATGTATCAAGGAGACCCTGCACACCTATATGCAACAAGGAGACCCTGCACACCTATATGTATCCGGGAGACCCTGCACACCTATATGTATCCAGGAGACCCTGGACACCTATATGTGCACACCTATGTGTATCCAGGAGACCCTGCACACCTATGTGTATCCAGGAGACCCTGCACACCTATGTGTATCCAGGAGACCCTGCACACCTATACGTATCCGTGTATCCTATAGACCCCTGCACACCTATATGTATCCAGGAGACCCTGCACACCTATATGTATCCAGGAGACCCTGCACACCTATACGTATCCACGAGACCCTGCACACCTATATGTATCCAGGAGACCCTGCACACCTATATGTATCCAGGAGACCCTGCACACCTATACGTATCAACGAGACCCTGCACACCTATATGTATCAACGAGACCCTGCACACCTATATGTATCCAGGAGACCCTGCACACCTATATGTATCCAGGAGACCCTGCACACCTATATGTATCAACGAGACCCTGCACACCTATGTGTATCCAGGAGACCCTGCACACCTGTGTGTATCCAGGAGACCCTGCACACCTATGTGTATCCAGGAGACCCTGCACACCTATATGTATCCAGGAGACCCTGCACACCTATGTGTATCCAGGAGACCCTGCACACCTATGTGTATCCAGGAGACCCTGCACACCTATGTGTATCCAGGAGACCCTGCACACCTATGTGTATCCAGGAGACCCTGCACACCTATGTGTATCCAGGAGACCCTGCACACCTATGTGTATCCAGGAGACCAAGGAGCATATACAGTCAGAGTGGTCAAGGTAAGATAAGCTTTACCTAGTTTGTGGAATGCAGCAGAAATGAAACAAGGAACCAGCCTGAGAATATTGTACCAGATCAGTGCTGCTGTATAGAGCAGAAATCAGGGGAGCCACTCTGACAGTTGTATAAACTTTAAAGTCAATAAGCTGTTGTCTGCCAAGTACAGTTAGTCAGTACTTTTACATAGAGCAGAAATAAGGGGAGCCACTCTGACAGTTGTATAAACTTTAAACAGTCAGTAAGCAATTGTCTGCCAAGTACAGTCAGTCAGTACTACTACAGCCAAGTACAGTTAGTCAGTACTACTACAGCCAAGTACAGTTAGTCAGTACTACTACAGCCAAGTACAGTCAGTCAGTACTACTACAGCCAAGTACAGTTAGTCAGTACTACTACATAGAGCAGAAATGAGAGAAGCTACTCTGACAGGTACCACTATAATCAGCAGTCAGTGCCAGGTTGCCAGCTTGAATACAGTCAATCAAGGAGTCCTTTCTTTGCCTCAAGTATGTGGTGCTAGTTCCTACTTTTAATGAGATATTTCAGGATTATTGTTCTAGTTCAGATATTTTAAAATTATTGTACTAGTTCAAAGTACTGGAGAGTTTTGCGAAATGCCATTCTGGTCTCAAGACTCAGTGTAGGGGAAAACCCCAACTGCACCTCCACGTGTGTGGCCAATGCAGCTATGGGGACCGAGTATCCGCCGAGATAAGTGGAGTCCTCTGGGGGTGCCATCTGCTGTTGCCATCTGCTGTTAGCAGGAGCATCACAGAGCACGGCACTCACTTGCCCTAGCAATCGAAAAGATTGCTGAAGGCTGAGGACGTAATCTAAAGCCAGTGGGTGTGGAAAGCAACAGGAAACTACCACAATACCATCCCAAGAAACTCAGCATGGGAGCCAAAAATGAGACCGAGTTTCTTTCTGTAATGAGAGCGACGTTCTGCAAAGGACCTGCTACATGATGATGATGATGTACTAGTTCAAATATTTCAAGATTATTGTTCTAGTTCAGATATTTCAAGATTATTGTTCTAGTTTAGATATTTCAAGATTATTGTACTAGTTAAGATATTTCAAGATTATTGTACTAGTTCAGATATGTGTAGATTATTGTACCAGTTCAGATATTTCAAAATTATTGTGCCGGTTCAGATATTTCAAGATTATTGTGCCATATGATAGAGTGCCATGTACCAGGTATGATATAATGACATGTCTCTGGTATGATATAATGACATGTCTCAGGTATGATATAATGACATGTCTCAGGTATGATATAATGACATGTCTCAGGTATGATAGAGTGACATGTCTCAGGTATGATATACTGACATGTCTCAGGTATGATATAATGACATGTCTCAGGTATGATATAATGACATGTCTCAGGTATGATATAATGACATGTCTCAGGTATGATATAATGACATGTCTCAGGTATGATATAATGACATGTCTCAGGTATGATATAATGACATGTCTCAGGTATGATATAATGACATGTCTCAGGTATGATAGAGTGACATGTCTCAGGTGTGATAGACTGAGACAAGTCAAGTTTTGGATGACCGATGTTTGTAATGTGATCATGTGTTTCTTGCACCATCACATCATGTGTGCTAGATTGACATGTCTCAGGTATGATAGAGTGACTTGTCTCAGGTATGACAGAGTGACATGTCTCAGGTATGATAGAGTGACATGTCTCAGGTATGATAGAGTGACATGTCTCAGGTATGATAGAGTGACATGTCTCAGGTATGATAGAGTGACATGTCTCAGGTATGATAGAGTGACATGTCTCAGGTATGATAGAGTGACATGTCTCAGGTATGATAGACTGACACGTCAAGTTTTGGATGACCGACATTTGTAATGTGATCATGTGTCAGATGTGCTAGAGTGACATGTCTCAGGTATGATTTAATGACACATCAAGTTTTGGATGACCGATGTTTGTAATGTGATCATGTGTTTCTTGCACCATCACATCAGGTGTGGTCAGCGGCCTGGGACAGTGCTCAAGTCAGACAAGTCAACTAACATCATTTCTCCAGGACCCTACAAAACAGGTATTGTCCATTATTTCTCCAGGACCCTACAAAACAGGTATTGTCCATTATTTCTCCAGGACCTTACAAAACAGGTATTGTCCATTATTTCTCCAGGACCCTACAAAACAGGTATTGTCCATCATTTCTCCAGGACCCTACAAAACAGGTATTGTCCATCATTTCTCCAGGACCCTACAAAACAGGTATTGTCCATTATTTCTCCAGGACCCTACAAAACAGGTATTGTCCATTATTTCTCCAGGACCCTACAAAACAGGTATTGTCCATTATTTCTTAGGTGATGGCAGGCCACTACAGTGTCTTTAAAATGTCACCAAGGCCCCACCCCTCCCTCCTAAATGCACACACATGCACACACACACAACAGTGCTTTGTTGTATTGCCCATTAGTTTGTGAGCTGATGCTGGACTTGATTTCTCACAACCACATGATCTGGTTTCATTGTGTTTCATTTTCTTATTTCATTGTCTTATATATTCTTCTAATTTCATTGTTTCACATTTCCCTTCTTATTTCATTGTCTCAGCTATCCTTGTATTTCACATTGTCTCACCTATCCTCGTAATTTCACATTGTCTCACCTATACTTGTAATTTCACATTGTCTTACCTATCCTTGTAATTTCACATTGTCTCACCTATCCTCGTAATTTCACATTGTCTCACCTATCCTTGTAATTTTACATTGTCTCCCCTATCCTTGTAATTTTACATTGTCTCACCTATCCTCGTAATTTCACATTGTCTCACCTATCCTCATAATTTTGCATTGTCTCACCTATCCTTGTAATTTCACATTGTCTCACCTATCCTTGTAATTTCACATTGTCTCACCTATCCTTGTAATTTCACATTGTCTCACCTATCCTTGTAATTTCACATTGTCTCACCTATCCTTGTAATTTCTTATTATCTCACCTATCCTTGTAATTTTACATTGTCTTAACTATCCTTGTAATTTCACATTGTCTCACCTATCCTTGTAATTTCACATTGTCTCACCTATCCTTGTAATTTCTTATTGTCTCACCTATCCTTGTAATTTTACATTGTCTTAACTATCCTTGTAATTTTACATTGTCTCACCTATCCTTGTAATTTTACATTGTCTCACCTATCCTTGTAATTTTACATTGTCTCACCTAACCTTGTAATTTTACATTGTCTCATATTTCTATCAAACTGGTTGTCTCATGTTTCCATCAGACTGATTGTCTCACGTTTCTATAAGACTGTTTCACACTTCTATAAGACTGATTGTCTCACGTTTCTATAAGACTGATTGTCTGATGTTTCTGAGACTGATTGTCTTATGTTTCTATAAGACTGATTGTCTCATGTTTCTTTAAGACTGATTGTTTCACGTTTCTATAAGACTTATTGTCTCATGTTTTTATATGACTGATTGTCTCATGTTTCTATAAGACCGATTGTCTCACGCTTCCATAAGACTGATTGTCTCACGTTTCTATAAGACTGATTGTCTGACGTTTCTGAGATTGTCTTCTTCTTCTTCTTTCGATGAATAAATTGATATTGCTGTCTCTAGTATGAATTTCACTGTCCACGTTTCCAAAAGACTGATTGTCTGTTGTTTCTGACGTTTCTGGGAGCGAAGTCGATTGTGCCCTGTTCTAAGAGATAATATGGTAATCATCTTGTGCCAGTTTTCGATTCTGATTGATTGTCTTCTGTTGATAAGAGACTGGTATGTCAGGTTGTTCTTCAGTTGCATGTTTCTGGGAAGGTATCCACTGCATTACTAATTTACAGCGGTTGCCTAGTTCGGATAATAGTGTCTGTATGCTTGGTAATTTTCCAGACTGGAGTGACTGAAGTACTGCTTTTGCATCTGTCAGGAATACCACTGGTTGTGAAAAATACCCTATATTTAGTAGTTTCTCTACCGCTATCTTGATGGCTTGAACTTCTGCATCATAGTTGTGACAGTGCTTTCCCTTTGGTAATTTGGCTGTATCCCTGTATTATTAGGATACTCAATGTACACTCCTGCACCTCCGTTTCTGACTGCGCTTTCTGCTGACCCATCTGTGTAAACACGGACCCAAAGGTTCTTCGGGTATTCATCATCAAGTAGACTGAGGGTGGCTGTTTTGCGCTGCACACTGTTTTGTTCTTCCTTGTCAAATACCCCTTTCACTTCAGTCTTGATGTGTATTGGAAACTTATACTCCTCTCTCCAGGGGGTCCGTTCTGGGACAGCATTTAAGGATCTATCAGTTGCAGGTAAATCAGTGGTTTGTCTGCCGAGCCGTTTGGCCTGGTGGATAAAACTACTTCTCTTTAGTCGTCCCAAAGCTAAATTTTTGAATCTTTCATTCATAGGGTGACTGGGCATACTAAGAAACTTTTCTGCTTGTAAAAGCATCTTGGTGTCTCTGCGTTCACTCAGTGCTTGGGTCATCCCCATTTTCTCCATCACAGCTATAGGTGTTGATTTCATACTGCCTGTGGTTGATTGTCTTATGTTTCTATAAGACTGATTGTCTCATGTTTCTTTAAGACTGATTGTCTCACGTTTCTATAAGACTTATTGTCTCATGTTTTTATACGACTTATTGTCTCGTGTTTCTATAAGACCGATTGTCTCACGCTTCCATAAGACTGATTGTCTCACGTTTCTATAAGACTGATTGTCTGACGTTTCTGAGACTGATTGTCTTATGTTTCTATAAGACTGATTGTCTCATGTTTCTTTAAGACTGATTGTCTCACGTTTCTATAAGACTTATTGTCTCATGTTTTTATACGACTGATTGTCTCGTGTTTCTATAAGACCGATTGTCTCACGCTTCCACAAAACTGATTGTCTCACGTTTCTATAAGACTGATTGTCTGACGTTTCTGAGACTGATTGTCTTATGTTTCTATAAGACTGATTGTCTCATGTTTCTTTAAGACTGATTGTCTCAAGTTTCTATAAGACTTATTGTCTTATGTTTTTATACGACTGATTGTCTCATGTTTCCATAAGACTGTCTCACGCTTCCATAAGACTGATTGTCTCACGTTTCTATAAGGCTGGTTGTCTCATGTTTCTGCCAGACTGATTTTCTCATGTTTCTGCCAGACTGATAGTCTCATATCTATAAGACTCTCGCGTTTCTGAACTGATTGTCCCATGTTTCCGTCAGACTGATTTTCACAAGTTTCTGAGACTGATTGTCTCATGTTACTGTCAGACTGATTTCAGGATAGAGAACTCTGAATCACCTGATCTCTACAGCACAAGAATAGACGATCAGAATCTGCACAGTAGAAGTCAGTTGAGCCACTCGGCCGACACAACAAGTCACTTGACCGAGTCAAATCTCATCAAGTACCTGGATGATGATGGGTGAGTCACTGTCATTGTATCTCACACATACGCTCACATGCACGCTCACACGCACACACATATTATGTAGATGATGGGTGAGACATTACCACAGTATATCACACACATGTAAATGATGATGAGATGCTACTACAGTATATCACACACATGTAAATGATGATAAGATTCTTCTACAATATATCACACACATGTAGATGATGATGAGATGCCACTACAGTATATCACACACATGTAGATGATGATGAGATGCTACTACAGTATATCACACACATGTAGACGAAGATGAGATGCTACCACAGTATATCACACACATGTAGACGAAGATGAGATGCTACTACAGTATATCACACACATGTAGACGAAGATGAGATGCTACCACAGTATATCACACACATGTACATGATGATGAGATGCTAATACGGTATATCACACACATGTAGATAATGATGAGATGCTACTACAGTATATCACACACATGTAGATGATGATGAGATGCTACCACAGTATATCACACATGTAGATGATGATGAGATGCTACTACAGTATATCACGCACATGTAGATGATGATGAATGCTACCACAGTATATCACACATGTAGATGATGATAAGATGCTACTACAGGATATCACACACATGTAGATGATGATGAGATGCTACTACAGGATATCACACACATGTAGATGATGATGAGATGCTACTACAGTATCTAACACGCATGTAGATGATGATGAGATGCTATCACGGTATATCACACACATGTAGATGATGATGAGATGCTATCACGGTATATCACACACATGTAGATGATGATGAGATGCTATCACGGTATATCACACACATGTAGATGATGATGAGATGCTACTACAGTATATAACACGCATGTAGATGATGATGAGATGCTAATACGGTATATCACACACATGTAAATGATGATGAGATGCTACTACAGTAAATCACACACACATGTAGATGATGAGATGCTACCTGAAATGTACCTTGGCTTTGTTTGGAATGAGTCATGGTTTGCACCGGCTTTAACATCTAGGGTTGACAACACAAATGCCGCTCAGCTTCTTTGTACATGCTGTCAGTTTATTCAGTCACATTTGTTCCACATGTTTCCACAATTATTTACACTTCTATCGCTCGCGACATATTCGAACACTAACCATTCGCGTGACATAAAGACGACCTCTTCAACCAAATGCAGCCGTCTTCCTCGACTTCTGTTGATCCACTGACCACGAGTCTAGCTCGGGCTTCCCCTCGCTTACTCAACTAGCCACAAGTATCTCGTGCTGTCACTTATTGCACAGACTTTCTATTTGCCACAATGTAATCGTGGAGACCATGCAAAGCAGGGTCATCACACTACCACAGTATATCACACACATGTAGATGATGACGAGATGCTATCAGGGTATATCACACACATGTAGATGATGATGAAATGCTATCACGGTATATCACACACATGTAGATGATGATGAGATGCTATCACGGTATATCACACACATGTAGATGATGATAAGATGCTATCACGGTATATCACACACATGTAGATGATGAGATGTTACTACAGTATATCACACACATGTAGATGATGAGATGCTATCACGGTATATCACACACATGTAGATGATGAGATGTTACTACAGTATATCACGCACATGTAGATGATGATGAGATGCTACTACAGTATATCACGCACATGTAGATGATGATGAGATGCTACTGCAGTGTATCACGCACATGTAGATGATGATGAGATGCTACCACACTATATCACGCACATGTAGATGATGATGAGATGCTACTACAGTATAGCACACACATGTAGATGATGATGAGACACTATTACAGCTTATACATATGAAGATGATGAGACACTACTACAGCTTATCATACATATGTAGATGATGAGACACTACTACAGCTTATCATACATATGTAGATGATGAGACACTACTACAGCTTATCATACATATGTAGATGATGAGACACTACTACAGCTTATCATTAATATTTAGATGATGAGACACTACTACAGCTTATCATACAAATGTAGATGATGAGACACTACTACAACTTATCATACATATGTAGATGATGAGACACTACTACAACTTATCATACATATGTAGATGATGAGACACTACTACAGCTTATCATACATATGTAGATGATGAGACACTACTACAGCTTATCATACATATGTAGATGATGAGACACTACTACAGGTTATCATACATATGTAGATGATGAGACACTACTACAGCTTATCATACATATGTAGATGATGAGACACTACAGCTTATCATACAAATGTAGACAATGAGACACTACTACAGCTTATCATACATATGTTGATAATGAGACACTACTGCAGCTTATCATACATATGTAGATGATGAGACACTACTACAGCTTATCATACATATGTAGATGATGAGACACTACTACAGCTTATCATACATATGTAGATGATAAGACACTACTACAGCTTATCATACATATTTAGATGATGAGACACTACTACATCTTATCATACATATGTAGATGATGAGACACTACTACAGCTTATCATACAAATGTAGATGATGAGACACTACTACAGCTTATCATACATATGTAGATGATGAGACACTACTACGGCTTATCATACATATTTAGATGATGAGACAGTACTACAGCTTATCATACATATGTAGATGATATTACACACATTAATAATTTGAAACACTACTACGATGTTGGGAAACAGAGGTAGACTTTAAATCAGGTACTATTAGCATGACAACAAGTGGGTATGACCCCAGAACAGCAATGTCAGGTTTGGATTGATTCATTGATTTTTTTTATTCACGCGTTTATAGTTATCAGATCCTCCACCAACATTGTCCAACATTATACTTATCAGATCCTCCACCAGTGTAGTCCAACAGTATAGTTATCAGTTCCTCCACCAACATTGTCCAACAGTATAGTTATCAGTTCCTCCACCAACATTGTCCAACAGTATAGTATACATGTTCCTCCAACATTTTCCAACAGTATAGTTATCAGTTCCTCCACCAGTGTAGTTCAACAGTATAGTTATCAGTTCCTCCACCAGTGTAGTCCAACAGTATAGTTATCAGTTTCTCCACCAGTGTAGTTCAACAGTATAGTTATCGGTTCCTCTAGCAGTGTAGTCCAGCATTATAGTTATCAGTTCCTCCACCAGTGTAGTCCAACAGTATAGTTATCGGTTCCTCTAGCAGTGTAGTCCAGCAGTATAGTTATCAGTTCCTTCTCCAACATTGTCCAACAGTATAGTTATCAGTTCCTCCACTAGTGTAGTCCAACAGTATAGTTATCAGTTCCTTTACCAGCGTAGTCCAACAGTATAGTTATCAGCATATTTATTGTAGAGTAAAATGTTTGTAGACAGATGATCATTAATCATGCAGATGGCAAGGTAATGATTCTGTTCAGCCAGCATGTGGGTGATTGTTTCAGGTTTATCAAGATCAGTCAGACCCAGCAGACGTCAAGGGTATTCCTGCTGCCACAGACACAGACAGATGGTACTGCTGATGCCAGTAAAGTGTTTGGTAGGTGTCTTCCCATTGGTGTGTGTATCCATGGTTAATGATGATACTTTGTTGCCATGCTTGTAGGTTTATGATTAATTGTCAGGTTATCATTTGCAGATCTAACTTCATGGAAAATGGATCCCCCAGTTTTTGTGCTTATTTAAAGCACACAAAAGGCCTGTCACAGTCCCATGTGAAAAGTCAGAGACAGCAATCCTGCCAACATCCATCAGCTCCAGTATATATATAAGGCTGTGATGGTTTTCATATCTTTCTCTGAATGCAATTTAGTTCACTTTGTTTTTACTGCCACACATGTGTATTTTCCTAATTCTTGTCTATAACAGTTGTCTGTTTGTCTAAGTTGAGTTGATTCAAAAACCGACATCACAGCATTCATGGCATTCCCATAAGCGCTCCTCCGTCTTTATCTTCAGCAGCCAGCACAGAGTTCCAGTTCCAATGGTGCCAGTAGCATTCTGAATAAACCTCCGCCTTGCCTTTCCTCTGAGCCTCGAGCATCGGCCAGAACCCCTCGTCACTCCCACGCTGCATCAGTCTCACCAGACTGTGGTGATCCATCTGCTCCTCTGAACTGTACATGCTCCCCCACAAAATCCCAACCACGTCTGCCTTATCATACATCATTATTCCACCAAGTTGTGCAGAGCCAGCCAGTCTGCCGCCTGTTTATATTTCCCAATACAGTGGGTATCCCGAAGAAAAAAATCCAGATAATACTTCTTACCCGTGTCTTCTGCAGGGAAGCATGCCACTCTGCACAAAGCATGCCTGTTCTGACCTTCCTTAGCATGCTTTCTGAATCATTTACAATCACGATGTGTGTGTGTCATGTTCTTTAACTAGCCAAAAGCTGGTGTGACCGTCTCCACCTCCATTCTTAAGCTGGATATACTTGTATAAATTCTAGAAGAAGTGATAGTTCTCAAAATCATTAGTAAATCACATATGAGATTTCTCCGTATTCAGATGGAGGAAGTATAGTTCTCTATCTTAAGTAATTCGCTGACAGATTCTCCTTATTACATATGCAACCAGTCAGCCTGTATAAATGCTTGGATTGGATCCCATTTCTGTGTTGGATTTTTATTCTTTTTGATGTTGTTGACTTCCCATGAAGAATTCCTGTTGACAAGAATACTGATTTATAGTCATCTTAGTGTGAATGCCCTCCCAGTCACTCTGTCAACTTATCCACTGCTTTTTACCAACAGCCTATGGAACATATTTGTAGTTTCCTAAATCCTTAAGAGACAAAACGTAAGTTCTTTAATCTTTAGTGGAATACATTTTAGTTCTCTTAATCTTTCATACCACGAACGGTATTCTCTAAATCTTTAGTGGAACAGACATTATAGTTCTCTGAATTTATAGTGAAATAGATCTGAACATTTGTTAATTTTTTTTATTTCATGGGGCTAATGGTTTTAGCTCTATGTTTTATTGACTAGTTGACTCTGGATGGCTGATGAATACACACACCGGACCCCTTGACTTGCAGGATAGTTTTGGCGGGCTGGGGCAAGAATGAACAAACAAACTTTATTTTCAAAGAGTCACAAATTAGGCACGCAGGCCTGTCTTACATTCAGCCCTCCTAAACTCCCATCTTCCACACAGTAGTTGTATTTTATCAATAAAGCATTTTATGTTCATCTAATAATATGCAAATTAATAATATCAAGTCAAAAACAAAAGCATGGGCAGTAAAATGCATGCGCACACTCCCGCGCAAAAACATACACACGCAAAACAATTCACTCATACACACACACATAGGCACCTAATATACACATACTTACACATACATCCACCCACACATACATACATACATACATACATACATACATACATACACACACACACACACTCATACACACAGACACACTCTTACAAACACACGCGCATACAACCCAGACACACAAAGCTACACAGACACACACAAACACATACATACATACACACACGTAGCCACACCAAAAGACACCTACAAACACACACATTGATGCACATAAACATAAACCCACAGACACACACTCACTCAGGCAGAGACACACATACAGAGACATATGCAACATTCACTCATACAAATATACACACACATAGACATGCAGACTCAGACACACACAGACATTATATAAGAGAGACACGCATAGAGACATGCACAGCAACAGACGGACACAGATACACACGAAAATACACACACACAGAGACACGCAGGCATAGACACACAGACACACACCTACAGAAACATACATAGATACACACAGACAGACAGAGACAAACATTCAGCCACACTCACACATATACACATACAAACACACACAGAAACACATACAGATACACTTACAAAAACAAACTGACACACATACAGACATGCTTACAGATACACACACATATGCACATAAAAACACACATATAGACACACTAACACAGAGACTTAAACACGCACACACATGCACACCTCAGACAGACACACACGTGGACACCATACAGACTCACACACAGAGACATACACTTACACAGACCCACAAAGACATTCACACAAACTTATACAGCTACTCATACATACACTAATACGTACACAGAATCATACACAAACACGCCTACACATGTATGCATGTCACACATATATGCATATATACATATCATACACACTGTATTTAATTATAAACTGGTAATGCAGGATAGATTATATTACCTACATTTAAGGTGGCATATAATCACTGGTAATCATGAATCATGTTTGTGTGTGTCTGTTTGTGTATGTATGTATGAGATCATGCATTTTTTCTGTGGCAACTTACGGTTGTGAGTCTTGGACTCTCACTCAGTCACTGAGGAAAAAGATTGGAGCTTTTGATTTGAAATGTTATAGAAAATTCTTAGAATACCATGGATCATGAAGAGGAAAAACATCTACATTCTGAACGAGTTGAACATCAAGGAGAACTGGCTCATAAACAGCATCCTGTCCCAAAAGTTGAAGTATTTTGCCCACATCAAGTGTCATGGTGGCTTGGAAAAGTTGGTGTTGAAAGGTGCAGTTTGTGGAAGGGGAGGCAAGGGTCGACCACAGTGAAGATGGATACAAGACATTAAAGATGCATGGGCATTTAAAGCACATGGGGCCGGAGAGCTGGCTAGGGAAAGAGATACTTTCAGGCGTGCCGTGAAGAGAGCAGTGTTGTTTTAAATAATTCAATTCTGGGTTAGGCAGATTTAATAAACTTAGTCGTTGCTACTTGTAGGAATAGATTGAATCAATCAGTCGATGTAATTTGGAGTATTTTTAGATAGGATTTTGTGAATAGATTTGGCCTTATTTAAAATTAAAATGGCAGAAGTCTTAGGTGTCTGCAAAAAAGATTTCTCTCGAGGTAGTTTCTATCGGAAACTAGGCGTAAGGTCCTGTTTTATAGAGAACTCAGCCGTTTGAAATTAGATTTGGAGCAACCATTCCAAATTGTGAAACAATAGTCAGTATGCTTTGGATGTAGGATACGTAAAGTATTTTACGTGTATTTTCGTCCAGAAAGTGCTGAACTTTTCCAGGTTGATAAACTGTTTGTTCTACTTTTTTTTTTTTGTCATGGCACGAACATGGGAACTTCAAGCTAGATGGCTATCAATTCAATCACCTAATGTTTTGTGTTCAACTACATTAACAATAGGTAGCTTGTCAATGAAGAGCTCAAGCGGTGGCTTGTGTAAAGCTAATGTTTGTAGTAGGGCTGTACCGAATAGTGATTTTCACTATTCGGCTGAATACAAATAACGGGACCAACTATTCGGCCGAATACGAATATGAAAAGTGTATAATGTATAAAATATGTCTAAAAAAATACACACACACAAACACATTCATAATGTCAAATGCACGCTAAACTTTTACTTCACATAAAGTAGCACAGAATAGTTATCTTCTTCTTTAGCATTCTGAGCCCTTGAGGTTTTCTGCTGCAGATATCACTCGTCTCCATCCATCTCTCTGGCTGGCCTTCTCTTCACAATTTGTGACACCAGTTGTTTGCAGGTCTGGCTGGACATTATCTCTCGAACTTCTTTTTTGTCTGCCTCGTGGTCTACACCCATTCCTCTCTCATGTGCATACAGTTTTACTTCTCTGTCATCTGACATTCTTTCAGTCAGTCTGTGGTAACTAATAACTAGGAATGAAAGAATCCTAAGTATTATAACAAGTAACTAAACTTGGAAATTGTCACTGACAGCTTAGTTAATGCATGAAAGCTGCATTAGCTTTTAACAAAACGAATCGTTTCATGTTGTCAGTATTAAGGCCGTGTATGCAGAAGCGGGTGTAAGGTAACTACTATTCTTATTCGGCCCCGAAGCTAATACGAAGCGAATATTCGATACAGCCCTAGTTTGTAGCTTTTGCCTTGTTATTATCACCATGGATTTAGTTTTGTTTTTGTTAATTTGCGTGCGATTATCATTGCTCTATTTTATAAGTTCATATATTTCTTTCTGTAAAGAACGTTCTAATTCATTACAATTGTGATGACTAGTATATATTGTACAGTTGTCAGCAAACAGATCACATGTTATACTGAGATCTAACGGAAAGTCATTAGTATAAGTGGCAAAGAATAGTGGACCCAATATTGAGCCCTGAGGAACACCTATATTTAACTACTGAGGGAAACAACCTGCTGCCTATCAGACAAAAATGAATTTATTAATGTATTTTAATTATCGTTAGTTTTTAAGGTCTTTAGTTTACTAATTAAAATATTGTGATCAACCATGTCAAAGGCTTTTCTATTGTCAACAAATACCGCACTGCAAATGTTGCCATTGTTGATGTTAAGGTACCAGTTGTCTGTCATTTTTGTCAACCCTGTATGACAAGAGTGTTTAGGTCTGAACCCTGATTGGTTATCAACTATTAGATGGTTGTTATTTAAATGCTGAAACATTATATTATGTTTGTGTTTCTATAATAGTTTAGATAGTAAGGATAGTATAAAACCTCAGCAGTTTGAAAAACTGATGGAAAGTAGTACTTGGCAAGGCACTGATTATATCTGAACAATAAGGAATCACTAACCACTGGTGCAGCACATCGAAGAATTCCATTACTGATTCCGTCCAAGCTTGAAGTTGATGAGATAATTATACACTTCAGCAACAGACATAAGGGGAATCTCACAAGGGATAGTCATGGTGCATTTTTCCTCACAGAATGATGCTAGTAAGCTTAAGTCACACTGGGAGTCTGGTATTGTGGACTATAAATTCTCTATTTCTGATTTGAAGAAACAATTAAAATCATCACATGTTAGATAATTTGGCTTTGATTGATCTGAAGAAGGATAGTTTTGGCAGGCTCAGTCCAGAGCCTTGACTTGCTGGATATTTGTGGCGGGCTCTATGGAGAACCCAGATCACAACAATAGAACCTCGTTAATAAGAACTTCTAACCCTTGTGTTGTCTGTAATTGTTCAGCTGAGCTGTGTAGATCACACCTTAGATGGTCTGGCAATGGAGAACCTGTAACTGTTGAGTTGAACCAGTTGTAACAATTTTGTGAACTTTGTTTCAGAAGGAACCAGTCAGATGTCTGCAGGTCACATCTTTCATGGACTGGCAACGCCAGCATCAGGCAGGGGGGAGCACCATGCAGTTAGCTCTGGGCAGAGTTCTGGAACCTTTATGTAAGTACTGACAGTCACTGTCTGAGATCAATTCTATATGTATCTGTGGTGTCACCATCGTAGAGCTGACTTGATCTATTCTGTTCTGTTTGTGTCTGAGGTGTCACAACTGTAGATCTGACTTGATCTAAATTGTTTTCTGTTTGTGTCTGGGGTTTTCACCATCGTAGAGCTGACTTGTTCTGCTGTTCTATTTGTGTCTGAGGTGTCACTGTCATAGATCTGATTTGTTCTATTCTGTTCAATTTGTGTCTGAGGTGTCACTATCGTGGATCTGTCCCTGATTTATTTGTTAGTTTTTTTTATTGTGCCCCAGCGTTGTTAAATCTGTATTTGTTACACATGAGTGTTTGTTATGCTAGAATGTCTATTTGTGTTTGTTAGGCCTAAATGTTTGTTACACCTGAGTGTTTGTTACACCTGAGTATTGTGCATGACCTAGTGTCTGGGTGCCATATTAAAACCATATTGTGTCATCATTGATTGGAAATTTTGTCGTAACTTATCAATGCCATCTCTCTGTGTGCCATGTTTGTGACAGTTGCTGGATGTCTCGTCATTTGTGTCGTCGTTGATTGGACATTGTCTCAAACTCATCAATGCCATCTCTCTGTCTGCCATGTTTGTGACAGTTGTTGGATGTCTCGTCATTTGTGTCGTCATTGATTGGACATTGTCTCATAACTCATCAATGCCATCTCTCTGTCTGCCATGTTTGTGACAGTTGTTGGATGTCTTGTCATTTGTGTCGTCATTGATTGGACATTGTCTCATAACTCATCAATGCCATATCTCTGTCTGCCATGTTTGTGACAGTTGTTGGATGTCTTGTCATTTGTGTCATCATTGATTGGACATTGTGTCATAACTCATCAATGCCATCTCTTTGTCTGCCATGTTTGTGACAGTTGTTAGATGTCTTGTCATTTGTGTCGTCATTGATTAGGCATTGTCTCATAACTCATCAATGCCATTTCTCTGTCTGCAGCACTTATCGCAGAAGAGGCCATGATCATGATGATGATGATGATGTCATTGACCCATTTCATGTTCTGTCAGATTCAGAAGATAATGTGGCACAAAAAAGTCAGAAGGTATCTTTATCTCACTATTTACTTTTTTATTTCACCATATATCTGTCTCACCATTTAGCTTTTAATCTCACCATATATCTGTCTCACCATTTAGCTGTTGATCTCACCATATTTCTGTCTCACCATATTTCTGTCTCACCATTTATCTGTCTCACCATATATCTGTCTCACCATTTAGCTGTTGATTTCACCATATTTCTGTCTCACCATTTAGCTGTCTCACCATTTATCTGTCTCACCATATATCTGTCTCACCATATATCTGTCTCACCATTTAGCTTTTGATCTCACCATATATCTGTCTCACCATTTAGCTTTTGATCTCACCATATATCTGTCTCACTATTTACCTTCTTATTTCACCATATTTCTGTCTCACCATATATCTGTCTCACCATTTAGCTGTTGATCTCACCATATTTCTGTCTCACCATTTAGCTGTTGATCTCACCATATTTCTGTCTCACCATTTAGCTGTTGATCTCACCATATATCTGTCTCACCATTTAGCTGTTGATCTCACCATATACACTATATAACCTTTGTCTAGCAATGTATCTTTCTGTCTCACTATATATCTTTGTCTCGCTATGTATCTTTCTGTCTCACTATATACCTTTGTCTCACTATGTATCTTTCTGTCTCACTATATACCTTTGTCTTGCTATGTATCTTTCTGTCTCGCATATCTTTGTCTCACTTTGTATCTCAATCTCGTGATATTTCTTTGTCTCGCTATCTTTCTTTCTGTGTCACTGTGTATCTTTCTGTCTCACCGTATATCTATCTGTCTCGCTGTTTATCTTTCTGTCTCACCATATATCTTTCTGTCTCACTGTGTATCTTTCGGTCTCACCATTTATCTTTCTGTCTCGCAATGTATCTTTCTGTCTACCATATATCTTTCTTCTTGTTTGTCTTTTTACTCCTGGAATGCCTCTCGCTGCGTCAGGGCAAGAAGAGATCTCTGGAACTGGCCCTTCCGTTTGCTTCGTATATTTACAGGGTTGACCTCTGGATCTGTTACCATTGTATTTGTATAGCAATGCTTTCTGTGCTGCCTGTCTCATGCCTGTTTTGTTACAAAGCCAAACTATTTGATTTTTTGTCCACCTATAAATTCATTATTGGTTCTGTGCCGACACCCCTCCTGATATCATCTTTCCTAAGTCCATCTTTCCTCGTTACAAAACTGAACTTTATTGGTAGGCACCAAAACAAGCGGTGACTGGTCTAGCAAATCAAAAGTGGCTAAATTAGTGCTCGTAGAAAACAAATCGATCTCACAAATTGACTATAATGATATCTCTTTTTATCTTACCATAAATCATTCTGTTTAACTGTATTTTTCTATGCGTTTGTGTCAATTTTAACATTTTATGATCTGTCTACATTGTTTTAGCGAGAGAAAGCTGCTTTCTCAGATGAAGATGCTGATGCAAGTGAAGTTGATGATAATGATGCAGGCGAAGTTTATGAAGATGATGTAAGTGAAATTGACAATGCTGAGCAACAATGTGGCACAGATGACAAAAAGAAAGGAAGATCTCAGTTGACACAACCGAAAAAGAAAACATTGTAAGACATCAACAGTTTTCTGCATGTCTACATTCTGTAACTATATTCTGTAGCTGTGCATCATGTCTATGTTCTGTAACTACATTCTATAGCTGTGCATCATGTCTACATTCTATAAATACATTCTATAGCTGTGCATCATGTCTACATTCTGTAGCTGTGCATCATGTCTACATTCTGTAGCTGTGCATCATGTCTGCATACTGTAACTCCGTTCTATAGCTGTGCATGATGTCTACATTCTGTAGCTGTGCATCATGTCTTCATTCTGTAGCTGTGCATCATGTCTGCATACTGTAACTCAGTTCTATAGCTGTGCATGATGTCTACATTCTGTAGCTGTGCATCATATCTACATTCTGTAACTATATTCTTTGGCTGTGCATCATGTTTACATTCTGTAACTATATTCTGTAGCTGTGCATTATGTCTGTAGCTGTGCATCATGTCTACATTCTGTAACTGTGCATCATGTCTCCATTCTGTAACTGTGCATCATGTCTTCATTCTGTAACTGTTCATCATGTGTACATTCTGTAACTGTGCATCATGTCTTCATTCTGTAACTGTTCATCATGTCTACATTCTGTAACTGTGCATCATGTCTTCATTCTGTAACTGTGCATCATGTCTTCATTCTGTAACTGTGCATCATGTCTACATTCTATAACTACATTCTGTAGCTGTGCATCATGTCTACATTCTGTAACTATATTCTGTAGCTGTGCATCATGTCTACATTACAGGGTTCGTAGTGGACCGGGAAATCGGGAAATTACCGGGATTTTTTTCGTTGACCTTGAACCGTGATTTTTAGCTTATAAAAGACATTCCGACCTTGAAAAGCCGTGAATTTTGACCGCGGCAATGAAATTGTCAGAAATCCTGTGTTTTTCAGCACAGGCAATTTGGGGGGAGCCATTTGGCTTTTTTTGGCCATTTGGCTAGTTTTTGGCTACTTTCGTTGTATGGTCGTTTCAGGTGTGAGGGCAGCTGATTAATGGCTATTTTCAGCCGAAATGGCTTGTTAAAGGCCAGGGGAGGGCGGGCTTTGTTGCAGATCATGAATACATGCAGACAGCAGCGATGGGGCGGGAAGTAACCGCTTCAGTCTCGCGTGTGTGTGTGTGTGCCTTTGTTTCTAGCAAGTCGGGCAGAATGAACAGTATAAATCGTTTATGGCCGTGGTTTCTAGAAAGGATTACATTGGGAGATGGTGGGACTCGGTTCAGTTGTATTTATAAATAGAGTCGCCGTGGTGGGGGCTAAGCACGGCCTTCTCTATTAATTAGAGATGGCATTGGGGCTAAGCAAAGTGACTGCAGCTGGATTTCCCAGTTCTATTTTTGGCCTGGATTTATCTTTACAGTGTGTTTGGCGATCAGTATTGTAATTCCCCCTCTTTCACTCTTCTACCTATTGCTCCTTCCTTCCTGTCTCCTGCATTGTCTCTAACCCTCCCTTCTGATCTTCATTTCTTCTCTTTCTCTCTATCTTTCCTTTTACTCTCTCATGTCCTGTCCCCCCTCCCCCTTTTTCCTATTTTATTTCTTGTTTAAATGTTTAGTAAATGTGCGGCTCCATAACTCTTCCTAGCAACTCAAGTACACAGGAAGTTGTATTGGGGGGGGGGGGGGGGGGGGGGGGGGAATTCTGTGTGAACATGGTGGATATTTTTTTTTTTGTGTTTGTTTTCCTAGCTGGCCTTATTCTCTGTCCATCTCCCTTCCCGCCCCCTCACATTTTGTCCTACCTGTTCCTCACTCTCTGCCTGTCTGTGTCACTGCTTTCCTCTTTCTCTTTGTATTTGCCACTCTCCCTCACTCCCTCTCTCTCTCTCTCTTTCTTTCTCCGTACCTTTAGTTGGGGTAGAAGGTTATGTGTTGCCTAGTGCAGAACATTTCATGTCCACCACTTCCCCCTCCCACACATTAAATATATGTGTACTTTTAAAAACACATTTGCTGTCACCCCCCCCCCCCCCCCCTCTCCTTTCTCCTCCCACGTTGATGACACCTAGGGGAGGGGGGGGGTGCACCTCTTCCTGCTACCTTCTTCCCTCTATATCTCATCTTATTTCTTACTCCCTTCTTTCTCTCCCTGTCTCAGTGCCCACTTTATTTTCTTAAACTTTATTCTCTCACCTCCTCTGTCTCACCCTTACCACCTCAGCCTTCTACACCACTTTCCACCACCTCCTCTCTCCCCTACTTTCTGTAATTGGAAAACCAGAAATAAAACCAAGTCCACTGCTGCCCTGACCTATTTATGTGTCTGACCTATTTATGTGTGTGGGTAAACTTCTCTATTTTCCACCAGTGGTGGGTTGGGATCCCCTGGACTTTTTTCTTCATAAAATGACCTTGGCTCTCAGGTCACCAGCCTTAAGTGTAAGAAATTGAATTATTGTTGTCACACACAGATAGGACAAGCAAGGGGCAGTAGGGGTTAGCACTGTTGTTTTTGGACCAGGCCACATTCACATTGGGAGAGGGTATGAACCGGAAAAGTGGCCTCACTTAGAGATTTCCTAATTCTATTTTTGGCACTCATTGTTCTTACACCCCCCCCCCCCCCCCCCCAAACCGTGTCTTACCTCTCTTCTCTCGCCCCTTCTCTTTCCTTTGATCTTCTACTATTCTCCTTTCTCTCTCCATTCTTCCTCTCTTCCTTTCCTTGCCCTTTCTCCTGTCCCATCTCTTCTTTGTTTCCTCTCCATCCTGTCTTTTCATTTTCTCTAGATTTCCTTACCCACTCCCCTCTCTCATTCTCTCCCCCCCCCCCCCCATTTTTTTTACTGGTTCATCTACGTATTTTTTTTGCCCCATGACTATCTTTTCCTAGTGGTTGTGTCCACTTCACTTGAAATTGTGGGGGGGGGGGGGGGGGGGGGGGGGTAGGTGGCTGTTTTTTTTTCTTTGAGGTATCTTGTCTCCCTTTCTGCCCCCCTCTCTTAATCTGTTTATCACTGCCTTCTTTACCCACTTCTCTCTCTCTCTCTCTTGCTTTATGTCTGTTTGCCTCCCTTCATCACTTCCTCTTTGTATACCTCCCTCCCATTCTCCTGCTCTGCCTTTTTTCTCTTTCTTTGGTTCTCTCCCTCTGTCTGCTTGCCTCTCTGTGATGTCCCTTTGTCTCTCTCTCTCCTTTATGTCTACATCTCTCTCTGCTTGCATCTGCTTCTTTCCCTGTCCGTTCTCTCTCCCTCTGTCTCCCTTCTTTCAACTCTTTGTCATATTTTCCTCCTTCCATGTCTCTGTTTCATTCCCTTTTTCCTTCTCTTTTCATCTGCCCATCTCTGTATCTGCATTCCCTCTTTCTGTATTTGTCTCCCTCTCTGTCTTTCGCTGTCCCTTCCCCACTTTTCCTCATGTCTCCATCCCTCCCTCTCATTTTTTCCTCCTTCCCCAGACTTCTTTTCTCTACCTTCATCTGTCCATCTTTACACTGTCTCTCCCAGCCTACCTCAGCATGTGTCTTCCTCTCTCTTCATGACTCTCTCTCTCTCTCTCCCCTAACCCTCTCAGGTACCAGGTCCAGAACAGACAGGACTTCAGTTTGCTGCCCTCTACCACCAAGCCCTAAAAAAAAAATTCAAACACTATATTAAGCTCAGGGGCCGACCAACACGAAGATGGGCACAGAATATAAGTGACTCCTTGAGTATAAAAAAGTACATGAGGCGGGAGACTACCATTTTTGTAGTCTCACTAAAGTCAGGCACCATTTTTTAGTCTCACTAAAGTCAGACACCATTTTTTCAGTCTCACTAAAGTCAGACACCATTTTTTAGTCACACTAAAGTAAAGTCAGACACCATTTTGTAGTCACCCTAAAGTAAAGTCAGACACCATTTTGTAGTCACCCTAAAGTAAAGTCAGACACCATTTTGTAGACACCCTAAAGTAAAGTCAGACACCATTTTGTAGTCACACTAAAGTAAAGTCAGACACCATTTTGTAGTCACACTAAAGTAAAGTTAGACACCATTTTGTAGTCACACTAAAGTAAAGTCAGATCCCATTTTGTAGTCACACTAAAGTCAGACACGATTTTGTAGTCACCCTTAAGTAAAGTCCGACACCATTTTTAGTCACACCAAAGTCAGACACCATTTTTAGTCACACTAAAGTCAGGCACCATTTTGTAGTCACACTTAAGTCAGACACCATTTTGTAGTCACACTTAAGTCAGACACCATTTTGTAGTCACACTAAAGTAAAGTCAGACACCATTTTGTAGTCACACTAAAGTAAAGTCAGACACCATTTTGTAGTCACACTAAAGTAAAGTCAGATACCATTTTGTAGTCACACTAAAGTAAAGTCAGACACCATTTTGTAGTCACACTAAAGTCAGACACGATTTTGCAGTCACCCTTAAGTAAAGTCCGACACCATTTTTAGTCACACCAAAGTCAGACACCATTTTTAGTCACACTTAAGTCAGACACCATTTTGTAGTCACACTAAAGTCAGGCACCATTTTGTAGTCACACTTAAGTCAGACACCATTTTGTAGTCACACTAAAGTAAAGTCAGACACCATTTTGTAGTCACACTAAAGTAAAGTCAGACACCATTTTGTAGTCACACTAAAGTAAAGTCAGACACCATTTTGTTGTCACACTAAAGTAAAGTCAGACACCATTTTGTAGTCACCCTAAAGTAAAGTCAGACACCATTTTGTAGTCACACTAAAGTAAAGTCAGACACCATTTTGTAGCCACACTAAAGTAAAGTCAGACACCATTTTTGTAGTCACACTAAAGTAAAGTCAGACACCATTTTTGTAGTCACACTAAAGTAAAGTCAGACACCATTTTGTAGTCACCATAAAGTAAAGTCAGACATTATTTTGTCGTCACCCTAAAGTAAAGTCAGACACCATTTTGTAGTAACCCTAAAGTAAAGTCAGACACCATTTTGTAGTCACACTAAAGTAAAGTCAGACACCATTTTGTGGTCACACTAAATTCGGACACCATTTTGTAGTCACTCTAAAGTAAAGTCAGACACCATTTTGTAGTCACACTAAAGTAAAGTCAGACACCATTTTTGTAGTCACACTAAAGTAAAGTCAGACACCATTTTGTAGTCACACTAAAGTTAGACACCATTTTCTAGTCTGACTACAGTCAGTTGCTACTGTGCTCCACAAGAGTGCTGGATTATACATCTACTCCTGTCACATCTTAAAATGTTGTGTTGTCAAGTGATGACTGTCATATCTAGCCCAGAATGATCAAATGTGTAACACTGCGAACTTTGTTTCCCCCAGCCGCCTGACTGATTTTGTGGAGGATGAAGCTGAACTATCAGGTGAGGGTTGTTGGCAAAGTAGACTTGACTAATGGCAGACTAGACTTGACTGTTGGTAGACTGGACTGTTGGCAGACTTGAGTTAACTGTTGGCAGACTGGAATGTTGGCAGACTTGAGTTAACTGTTGGCAGATTGGAATGTTGGCAGACGAGTTGACTGCTGGCAGACTGGATTTGACTGTTGGTAGACTGGAATGTTCGCAGACTTGAGTTGACTGTTGGCAGACTGGATTTGACTGTTGGTAGACTGGAATGTTGGCAGACTTGAGTTGACTGTTGGCAGACTGGATTTGACTGTTGGTGGACATGAATGTTGGCAGACTTGAGTTGACTGTTGTCAGACTGGATTTGACTGTTGGTAGACTGGAGTCTTGGCAGACATGAATGTTGTGAAACAGACATGAATATTGGGAGACAAGTTATGTCAGGCTATAAATATGATATTGTGCCTATCATGTAATATAAATGGTCTATCGTATCTCCTGTAGGAAGTGAGTACGACACTGATGAGAATGTTGATGTTGCTGAAGAAGATGATATTCTAGAGGAAGAAGCCGGCGATCAGGACCTACTGGGTGTTTCGCAGGAGAAACTAAGGGATGAAGTTGGTAGACTACACATGTGAGTTGTAGGAAGTGTGGTGACAGACAACCCTTTTTTTTTTAAAATACCATGTCTGCCTATCATTAACACTGACTACCTCCATTATTAGACTACTTTCGTTAACTGACTAACTCCATTAAAAGATCTTTATTAACAATCTACATTAACAGACCATAACAAGACTACTTCCATTATAAGACTACTTCCATTAACAGACTACCTCCATGATAAGACTACTTCCATGATAAGACTACTTTCATTAACAGACTACCTCCATGATAAGACTACTTCCATTAACAGACTACTACCTCCATGATAAGACTACTTCCATTATAAGACTACCTCCATGATAAGACTACTTTCATTAACAGACTACCTCCATGATAAGACTACCTCCATGATAAGACTACCTCCATGATAAGACTACTTCCATTAACAGACTACTACCTCCATGATAAGACTACCTCCATGATAAGACTACTTCCATTAACAGACTACCTCCATGATAAGACTACTTCCATTAACAGACTACCTCCATGATAAGACTACCTCCATGATAAGACTACTTCCATTAACAGACTACCTCCATGATAAGACTACTTCCATTTACAGACTACCTCCATGATAAGACTACTTCCATTAACAGACTACCTCCATTAACTGACCATGTCCATTAACTGACTACCTCCATTAAAAGATTATCTTTATTAACAGACTATCTCTATCAACAGAATACCTCCATTTTAAAACTACTTCTATTACCAGACTACCTTCATTATAAGATTACCTCCATTAACCCTTTTAGCACGGGAAGTTTTTCAGATGTCTAGCCAAAAACACGGAGCATTTTTTCAGTGAATTTGGTTATTACTTTATTTAATTTTTTTGACAGATTTCTGTTATTCTGACCCCTATGAAATAATATATCTATTTGAAGGATATAGATTGAAGTTCGTGATTTTCACAATATCGTTAAAATTAATTGATGTATATGCAAATTATCTCATTTGCATATCTAAAAATAGAAAATTTTAATTTGAATTTTCAACTTCAATGCTTGAAACATAAAACTAAAAACAAAAATTTTTTTTTATTTGAAATCTTTTTATTGATCTTTGGCCTTTTTACAAATGTTGTAAGCAATTCAATAGTCAAAAACAGGTATATATGTGTGAAACGGCAATAATATCTTTAGGTGACATGTGTTTTTCACCATCAGTCAGCACTATAAATGGATGTGCCGGAGTGTCAACCACCTTCGGGTGGATATACCCTGAGCCATGGTTGGGCTGTGGTCTGAACACAACAGCGTCCCCATCTGATTCCCACTATAACTACTAACACTAAATCCTGCATCAGTATCAACAGAATTAGTGTCAACACTTGATTCAAATGTTTTATCAACATCAAGTTTAGGGGCAGAAACATACGAGTCAGACATACTTTTAGCGGTTCAGGTCACTATCTAAAAAATTCAACAACAATTTTCACTTCGATACCAAACACTCGAAAGTCGCCATGTGTAAAGCTGATACCGCAGTTAATATAAATGAATCACTTTCAGTGTTTCAAAGTAGGAGATTTCTTAGCGGTTCGAGGCGAAACACGATCGGGCCGATCATCGGCCGTTCCGTGTTTTTGGCAAGACATCCGCCGGCCGATAATCGGCCCGTCCGTGCTAAGAGGGTTAACAGACAACCTTCATTATAAGATTACCTCCTGTAGATTTATGTAAGTGCACAGACAACCTCCAGTGGATTGGTGTTAGTGCACAGACAGCCTCCAGTGGATTAGTGTTAATGCACAGACAGCCTACAGTGGATTTATGATAGTACAGTCTCTAGTGGATTGGTGTTAGTGCACAGACAGCCTCCATTTGATTGGTGTTAGTGCACAGACAGCCTCCAGTGGATTTGGTGTTAGTGCACAGACAGCCTCTAGTGGATTGGTGTTGGTGCACAGACAGCCTCCAATAAACTGTTGCCCGGACAGTTTACCTTTGAGTGTTTATTACCAGGAAACAACTTCGAGACGATGATGATCGGGCTGTGCTGAGGTATAAGGAGATGTATCTGCAGGATGGGGATCTGTATTCAGAGGGGGCTGGTCGCAACCGGAACTTTCGATGGAAAGATGTTGGTAAGTGTAAAATATGTTCTCCATGCAGCATAGAGTGGGCATTTGAGTGTTTTACCTAGGAAAGGGTAGTTATTGTTGGGATATATTAAATATGGGGTTAGTTGAGGGAAATACTGTTGTAGAAATACTAAACATGGTTGTAGTTGTAGAAATACTAAACATGGTTGTAGTTGTGGAAATACTGAACATGGTTGTAGTTGTAGAAATACTGAACATGGGGGTAGTTGTGGAAATACTGAACATGGTTGTAGTTGTAGAAATACTGAACATGGTAGTAGTTGTAGAAATACTGAACATGGTAGTAGTTGTAGAAATACTGAACATGGGGGTAGTTAGGGAAATACTGAACATGGTAGTGGTTGTAGAAATACTGAACATGGGGGTAATTAGGGAAATACTGAACATGGGGGTAGTTGTAGAAATACTGAACATGGGGGTAGTTGTAGAAATACTGAACACGGAGGTAGTTGTAGAAATACTGAACACGGAGGTAGTTGTAGAAATACTGAACATGGTTGTAGTTGTGGATATACTGAACATGGTTGTGGTTGTAGAAATACTGGACATGGTTGTAGTTGTAGAAATACTGAACGTGGTTGTAGTTGTAGAAATACTGAACGTGGTTGTAGAAATACTGAACATGGTTGTGGTTGTAGAAATACTGAACATGGTTGTAGTTGTAGAAATACTGAACATGGTTGTAGTTGTGGAAATACTGAACATGGTTGTAGTTGTGGAAATACTGAACATGGTTGTAGTTGTAGAAATACTGAACATGGTTGTAGTTGTGGAAATACTGAACATGGTTGTGGTTGTGGAAATACTGAACATGGTTGTGGTTGTAGAAATACTGAACATGGTTGTAGTTGTAGAAATACTGAACATGGTTGTAGTTGTAGAAATACTGAACATGGTTGTAGTTGTGGAAATACTGAACATGGTTGTAGTTGTGGAAATACTGAACATGGTTGTAGTTGTAGAAATACTGAACATGGTAGTAGTTGTAGAAATACTGAACACGGAGGTAGTCAGCCGATAGTTGCTTCTGGCCTGTGCCAAAGAAAAGCACACAGAATGTCCATCACTGTCCCTTTTGGTAAAGTTGGCCAGGATGAAACCTCTGCATATCCACTAACTTACACATGCAGTTGACTTCCGGTTCAATGGCGGCGGACAGTTGTGTTTTTCGTAGCTGCTTTATTTTCATGTTAATATGGATGTTTTACATCCTTTACGTGATATGTTTTGTGAGGAGATGTAATCAGAAGTTTTCTTTTTTACTCAAGATTTTCGTCGGTGCTGCAGAGTTCGTGCATCTGAGTGAAACCATCCTTGAGTTGATCTTTTAAGAGTGTGTGGTTACAGATCATGTTAGGTGTTCGGTTTTCGATAATAGCGGAACAGGGTTTGTGTCTGGTTCCCAAAAGAAACAAGCCTCAAAGTTGTGGTCAAAGGCGGAAAAGGCAAGGTAGACGCGCTGGGGCTAGGAGAACACGGCTCAAATAGGTCCGCCTAGGCCCCAACAACATTTGTATACTGTATTGGAATTGTGCTAGCACAAAGCAACGTAGACTCATTCTAGTGCGCCTAGTTTACAGCAACGATGTTGTTGCCCTACAGGAAACATGACTTGGTGATAACACGCTACACATGGTCGGTTTCAACTCTTTTTACAACAGGCAACACCTGTGATTAGCCATCCTTGTTTGAGATGGTGTAGTGGCTTCTGCGGTGGGCATGTCTGGGGGGACAGCGACGAGATACAATTACAGGCGGTCAGAGTTCAGTCCCAGCATTCTTTTGTGTTGGTGAATGTTTATGCCTGCAACGTGAGTGTTGACTTCCAGAGGTGACAGTGTTTAAGTGAAATAATATCTCATGAGAGAAATGTCATTTTCTGTGGAGATTTCAATGACAAAGGCAGATCATGCGGGAACATTTCACCCAAGGCACAGGGGGAAGTGCTCGAGACCATGTTTGAAACTGTTGACCTAGTTTATATTAACAGTGGCAGTGTCACGAGGGTAGGAAGTAGACCAGGTGACGCAGACAGTGTCACGAGGGTAGGAAGTAGACCAGGTGACGCAGACAGTGTTATTGATCTGGCCCTAGTTTCTCCTTCACTCATTTCAGTGTGTCAATGGGGTGTACTAGGGTACAGTGGAAGCGACCACCACCCCTGTAGCATAGTGGTGGAGAAAGGCAGATCCAAGAAATACAAGTCAAAGGTCAAGACATTTATATATGACATTACAAGACAGGATGTGCTTGGTAAAATAAGGCGTGACAAGCACAGAAAACAAATTGGCAAGAAGAAGAGCTGGGAGAAACTCCCTTGGTAGAATTGGGAGATAGAAAAAGCCTGGGCAGATAAGCGGGTGCTTTGAGAAGATGGCAAAATGCCAAACACAACAAAGTCGCCCAGTCTGGTCAAATCTTGAGCCTGCAAAGAGACATGGACATAAAAGTCGGCTCCTTTAAAAAACTGGTTACTGAGGTTAAACGTAAGAAGTGGGCAGAAGTGTGTCACAGAATAAGCAGAGATAAATCACTGAAGCTGTTCTGGCGACTACATAAAGTATGATCTGTGCCCACACAAATAAGAGAATTCCTGACTTCCAGTGCTCCGACCTCACCTGGCAGAGGTCCGATGAAAATAAGGGCAAGAAGCTATTAGAACACTTTCAGCAGCAGAGCAGCCAGACCGATATGACAGGACGCAGTTTTGCCAAAGCTATTACCTATGATAGGTGTAAGTCACAGAATTTTGCAGACGGTGATATAGTGACCGTGGATGAGATCAAGGTTGTGCTACGACGAACAAATAATGGTGCACCAGGTCCAGATGGTGTAAGATATGATGACATTAGTGGGTGTACTGAAGATAGCTAAAAGAGCTAGCAGACATGTACAATAATAGTATTGCGAGTGCTAGTATCAATGAAGAGTGGTTACACAGCTATCTGATACCCCTGTCAAAACCTGGCAAAGATCACACATAAATTCAGGGATATCGGATAATCACTATGTAAAATACTATAGGCAAGCTGTTAGAAAAGATATTGCCAGAAACATTTCACACCAGCTTGAGAGGCGAGGTCATCTTCCAAATACCCTTGAAGGGTACCGTCCAAAGAAAGAAACATGGACCAGTGCTGCAGTTTTTGCTCATGCTGTGTATGAAGGGTTCCACTCAGGTATTGAAGCGTGTGCTGCTGCAATTGGTCTCGAGGATGCATACAACAGAGTACCTTTGGACTTCCTAATGTCTCAGCTTCTTGAACTCCAGATAAGCCCATTCCTGCTTCACTGCAAAACAGTTTGGTAGTGGTAATACTAAACAGTTTAGCGCATAGTTTGGTGGTGGTGGTAATACTAAACAGCACATAGTTTGATGGTGGTGGTAATAATGAACAACACATAGTTTGGTGGTGGTAATACTAAATAAACAACACAGTTTGGTGATGGAAATACTAACCAACAGTTTAGTGGTAGGAATACTAAATGTTATAGCTGCCTGTTGCCAAATGACTGTATCCTTGTTGAACATTGTTGTTGCAGAATATCAGTCGCAGCAAGAAACATTTGCCTACAATTCAGACGAGGGCCCAACTGAAGAGGATGCAGAAGATGCTAACTGGAGAAAGGATCGTTTTGAAAGAGAACAGTTTCTGGAGAAAAAGGTCACTATTGTAGACATTTTGATTCTGGTGATTTTGATTCTAGTGACATTAGGCTCATGATCATTTTAGCCAGAACCATGTCTGCTTCTTGTGTTCTTGTAACAAGTGTGGTTGTGGCTTGTTTCTTGTCACAAGTGTGGTTGTGGCTTGTGTTCTTGTCACAAGTGTGGTTGTGGCTTGTGTTCTTGTCACAAGTGTGGTTGTGGCTTGTTTTCTTGTCATCTGTGGTTGTGACTTGTATTCTTGTCATCTGTGGTTGTGGCTTGTATTCTTGTCATCTGTGGTTGTGGCTTGTGTTCTTGTCATCTGTGGTTGTGGCTTGTGTTCTTGCCATCTGTGGTTGTGGCTTGTGTTCTTGTCATCTGTGGTTGTGGCTAGTATTCTTGTCATCTGTGGTTGTGGCTTGTGTTCTTGTCACAAGTGTGGTTGTGGCTTGTGTGGTTGTGGCTTGTGTTCTTGTCACAAGTGTGATTGTGGCTTGTTTTCTTGTCATCTGTGGTTGTGGCTTGTATTCTTGTCATCTGTGGTTGTGGCTTGTGTTCTTGCCATCTGTGGTTGTGGCTTGTATTCTTGTCATCTGTGGTTGTGGCTTGTGTTCTTGCCATCTGTGGTTGTGGCTTGTGTTCTTGCCATCTGTGGTGGTGGCTTGTGTTCTTGTCATCTGTGGTTGTGGCTTGTATTCTTGCCATCTGTGGTTGTGGCTTGTGTTCTTGTCATCTGTTGTTGTGGCTTGTGTTCTTGTCATCTGTGGTTGTGGGTTGTGTTCTTGCCATCTGTGGTGGTGGCTTGTGTTCTTGTCATCTGTGGTTGTGGCTTGTATTCTTGCCATCTGTGGTTGTGGCTTGTGTTCTTGCCATCTGTGGTTGTGGCTTGTGTTCTTGCCATCTGTGGTGGTGGCTTGTGTTCTTGTCATCTGTGGTTGTGGCTTGTATTCTTGTCATCTGTGGTTGTGGCTTGTGTTATTTTTATCTGTGGTTGTGGCTTGTGTTCTTGTTATCTGTGGTTGTGGGGCACTTGGACAGGTTAACGCTGGAATAAAGGTGTGGATAGAAAACTCACAGCAAAAATCAGCATAAACATTCTTCCAGCAAATGTCACGATAAACACTCTTTCGGCAAATGTCACGATAAACATTCTTACAGCAAATGTCACGATAAACATTCTTACAGCAAATGTCACGGTAAACATTCCTACAGTAAATGTCACGATAAACATTCCTACAGCAAATGTCATGATAAACATTCTTACAGCAAATGTCACGATAAACATTCTTCCAGCCAACATCGCGGTAAACATTCTTACAGCATATGTCACGATAAACATTCTTCCAGCAAATGTCGCGGTAAACATTCTTCCAGCAAATGTCGCGGTAAACATTCTTACAGCAAATTTCACGCTAAACATTCTTACAGCAAATTTCACGATAAACATTGTTACAGCAAACATAAATATTCTTGCAGCAAACATGAGTAAAAACATTTTTACAGCAAACATTAGAATAGAAACAAACATTTTTACAGCAAACTTGAGCATAAATATTGTTACCACAAACACCAGGATAAGCATTCTTATAGCAAACATTAAAATAAACATAAACGTTCTTGCAGCAAACATCAGGATAAACATCGTCGCAGCAAACATGACTATAACCTGACACTGTTACAACAAACATCAGGATAAACATTGGCACAGCAGACATGACTATAACCTGACACTGTCACAGCAGACATGACTATAACCTGACACTGTCACAGCAAACATGACTATAACCTGACACTGTTACAGCAAACATGACTAAAACCTGACACTGTTACAACAAACATCAGGATAAAAATTGTTACAGCAAACATAATGATAAACATTGTCGCAGCAAACATGACTATAACCTGACACTGTTACAACAAACATGACTATAACCTGACACTGTTACAACAAACATGACTATAACCTGACACTGTTACAACAAACATGACTATAATCTGACACTGTTACAACAAACATGACTATAACCTGACACTGTTACAACTAACATGACTATAACCTGACACTGTTACAACAAACATGGATATAACCTGACACTGTTACAACAAACATGACTATAACCTGACACTGCTACAACAAACATGACTATAACCTGACACTGTTACAACAAACATGACTATAACCTGACACTGTTTTAACAAACATGACTATAACTTGACACTGTTACAACAAACATGACTATAACCTGACACTGTTACAACTAACATGACTATAACCTGACACTGTTACAACAAACATGACACTATTACCCTGACACTATAACTACAACAACAACAAACATGACTATAACCTGACACTGTTACAACTAACATGACTATAACCTGACACTATTACAACAAACATGACTATAACCTGACACTGTTACAACAAACATGACTATAACCTGACATTGTTACAACAAACATGACTATATCCTGACACTGTTACAACAAACATGAGGATAAACATTGTCGCAGCAAACACGACTATAACCTGACACTGCTACAACAAACATGACTATAACCTGACACTGTTACAACAAACGTGACTATAACCTGACACTGTTACAACAAACATGACTATAACCTGACACTGTTACAACAAACGTAACTATAACCTGACACTGTTACAACAAACATCAGGATAAGCATTGGTACAGCAGAGATCAACATAAACATTCTTACAGCAAACATAAGGAAACATTTTAAAACAAACAGGATGAAAACAAACATTGTCCTAGCAAACCTGTGCAATAATATTGTTACCATAAACATCAGGGTAATCATTCTTATAGCAAACATTAAAATGAACATAATTACAGCAAACATAAACATTCATGCAGCAAACATCAGGAAAAACATTGTTACAGCAAACGTCTAGATAAACATTTTGACAGCAAACATCATGATAAACATGCTTACAGTAAACGTCAGTATCAAATAGCAAACATCAACATAAACATTGTTACAGCAAACATCAGGATAAACATTGTTACAGCAAACATCTAGATAAACATGCTTACAGTAAACGTCAGTATCAAATAGCAAACATCAACATAAACATTGTTACAGCAAACGTCAGGATAAACATTATTACAGCAAACATCTAGATAAACATGCTTACAGTAAACGTCAGTATCGAATAGCAAACATCAACATAAACATTGTTACAGCAAACATCAACATAAACATTGTTACAGCAAACATCAGGACATAAACATTGTTACAGCAAACATCAGGATAAACATTGTTACAGCAAACATCAGGATAAACATTGTTACAGCAAACATCAGGATAAACATTGTTACAGCAAACATCAGGATAAACATTGTTACAGCAAACATCAGGATAAACATTGGTTTTAAGGACATGTGCCATTTGTTCAAAACATCAAATTTGGGTCAGGTCAACAATTTTGGGAAAAGTTCGTTTTTACATACCTTAGTATGTCTTCTGTCAGATTGAGTTTTAGTTTTTGTCTCAAATATGTTATTAGTTTTTGTCTCAAATATGTTATTTTAATGCAATATGAACATTTTACTAAGCTAACCTGTGAAATTATTTGTTTATTGAAATTTGTTACGAAATTAGCTATGTTTCGCCCTTGGCAGCGCTACATGCACAAGGAGATAGCTGTGTGTATTATATTTCGTTGAGACAGAAAATATGTCACCTACACTATTCAGCGGGAATCGCGATTATAGAATTTTACGTTTTCCATTCACTGCCAATTCATTCACCCCTATAACTGTCGGAAAATTCCAAATGTGGGTGTAAACACGATCTTGTTCACGACGGGTGATTCCCGATGGCTAAAACTGATCATGTGGGTGTCAGATTCTCAAAGATGGCTGCTGTGATTGATTGTTTAACAAGAAATGGCATGACAGCTGTGAAATCGAAAAATGCCTTTTTTTTTTTCAAGAAATTCCACAGCCGATCAACGTAAGCAATCTCGAAGTCTACAATTGGCAAATGCTCGTAAGCAAAGAAAAGTCTACCAGAGTGTGGTTAATGTTACTGATAAATTTGGAATGTGACATAAAATAAACATAGTTACTACAAACATAAACATTCTTGCAGCAAACATCAATGTGACAGAGCTTGGTGCAGACCATATGTTAATGTGGATGCATGTGCCCATACTCTGGCTGGAGCTTTCATGAGACAAAACTTATACTAGTGCAGTCATAATTGCTTCCCTTTTTTATTTCGCCAGGTATTATTTCAGCCCTAGGCAGGCAATTGTTATCTGGCTAAGATATCAAGTTAATTTTTGCTGCGAAATGGCCCAATTGTAATCGCCGATTGTCTACAGTGAAAATATCCCCCACAATGTAATGACAAGATATGAAGCTAACGAAATGACCTTGAGTGCAATTAAGTAATTCTCGAGATAATAGAAGTAATTAATGCTGCCAGACAAGAAGGTACCCCCTACAGCATCACACATTATTGTATCCAAATGAATTCAAATTTTTCCCCAGTTGATTGGGAAACGAATCATGTCTTGAAAAACTCAGGTAATGTTGGCATTACCTGTTGTCTGTTGAATAAAATAACAGTCACATGTCAGCATATCCAGACAAACCTCAATTATGGATCTGGAATTCAGGTTGTAAACATACAGATTTATCTGGACTTCACCCAGGGACAACTGTATGTAAATGTATACATACATAGCAACACAAAACTATTTTAACTATTTTACAAGTTGCAGGAAGTCAAAGGGATTTAGTTTAAAGACAAACCTCATACAAGAGCAACATTTTAGGAATTCTATTATACAACAGTGAATGTAGGAAAAATAACAGCGGGAATTACATATAAATTGAATTCTTTTCAAAATACATGTTTAAGGAGAATTCTACAAATATTTTGGCCATACAAGATCACAGATGAAGAACTGAGGAGGAAAACAGAATGTGCATCACTGGCAAATGTGATCAAAGTGAGACGATAAAGATGGCTTGGACAACGTTGGGACCAGTGAGAAGTGTTCCGAGGAAGTAGATGCCGGGGCTCACTGCGGGGGCTGACAGGCATCGCTAACAGGACGCGCATATGAAGAAGAAGGTTGTAATTCTCATGTAGGCCAACAAGAGTGATTCTCGTGTAGTCTGAGAACGCCCACATGAGCGTGATTCTCGTGTAGTCTGAGAACGAACGAACGAACGAACTTTATTTTCAAAGGGTTACAAATTAGGCACGCAGGCCTGTCTTACATTCGGCCCTTACAAACTTCCATCTTTCACACAGCAGTTGTATTTCATCAATGAAGCATGTTATATTCATGTAATAATATGCATATTATATATATGAAGTCAAAAACAAAAGCATGGCTGGTAAAATATGTACGCACGCTCACGCGCGAACACACACACCCACATACACACACAAGCCCAATGACTCACTTACACACAAACATATAGGCACTAAGTACACACATACATCCACATACATACGAACATGCACACACACATACATGCATACATACATGCATACATACATACATACATACATACATACATACATACATACATACATACATACATACATACATACATACATACATGCATACATACATACATGCATACATACATACATACATGCATACATACATACATACATACATACATACATACATACATACATACATACATACATACATACATACATACATACATACATACATGCATACATACATACATACAAACTCACATAATACATACATACACACACATACATACATACACATACATACAAACATACATGCATACATACATACATACATACATACATACATACATACATACATACATACATACATACATACATACATACATGAGCGTGATTCTGGTGTAGCTGAGAATGCCCACATGAGCGTGATTCTGGTGTAGCTGAGAATGCCCACATGAGCGTGATTCTGGTGTAGTCTGAGAACGCCCACATGAGCGTGGTTCTGGTGTAGCTGAGAATGCCCACATGAGCGTGGTTCTCGTGTAGCTGAGAATGCCCACATGAGCGTGATTCTGGTGTAGCTGCCCACATGGGTCCGGCAAGGATATACTGGGACTGCGTAGTCAGTCAGACAGTATCTCTCTAGTCAGATTGGGAGTACTCGAGTGAGTGTTAGAGTACTTTTCACCTGTCAGACAGTGAGGTCTGAAGGAGAGTCTCGGTCACGGCTACAGATCGAAGGTAGAGTCCAGCTGTCGAAGTAAGGCCAAGTGGACTGGGCGCTTCAATAGTAACTGTTCTGGATGACGACACAAGGGGGCGTAGGATCATCGGGGAAACAGAGCAGTAGGGATGCCGACGAGAGCTGTGTACTAGAGGGGACTTGTGCTAGAAGTCCTGACGGTCATTGGAGTCCTTCGACAGGCTGATGTGCTGTAGGCAAATGCTGGAGAAAGAGCGAGTGAAGTCCGTTTCCAGTCAGCTGTTGTCTGCTGAAGTAGAATCAAGGTCCAGTTGATAGGAGAATTGTTCCTGTTCTTTTATACAGCAGGCCCAGAGTTGCGGGATGCTGTAGACCTTACGAGCTATAGTAGTCAGAAAGAGGTCGCTACAAGTTAAGAGAGAGAGAGTGAGGACTTTCTACAAACCCACTTGGTTGTTTCTCTATTTCTGGTAGTATCCCAGCGTCTACAAACCAACATGGCTGTTGCTTAGTTTCTGGTAGTAGCCCAGCTTCTACAAACCCACATGGTTGTTGCTTAGTTTGTGGTAGTAGCCCAGCTTCTACAAACCAACATGGTTGTTGCTTAGTTTCTGGTAGTAGCCCAGCATCTTCAAACCCACATGGTTGTTGCTTAGTTTTTGGTAGTAGCCCAGCTTCTACAAACCGACTTGGTTGTTTCTCTATTTCTGGTAGTAGCCCAGTGTCTACAAACCCACATAGTTGTTGCTCAGTTTCTGGTAGTAGCCCAGCGTCTACAAACCCACTTGGTTGTTTCTCTATTTCTGGTAGTAGCCCAGCGTCTACAAACCCACATGGTTGTTGCTTAGTTTCTGGTAGTAGCCAAGTGTCTACAAACCCACTTGGTTGTTTCTCTATTTCTGGTAGTAGCCCAGCGTCTACAAACCCACATGGTTGTTGCTCAGTTTCTGGTAGTAGCCCAGCGTCTACAAACCCACTTGGTTGTTTCTCTATTTCTGGTAGTAGCCCAGCTTCTACAAACCTACATGGTTGTTGCTCAGTTTCTGGTAGTAGCCCAGCTTCTACAAACCAACATGGTTGTTGCTTAGTTTCTGGTAGTAGCTTAGCGTCTACAAACCAACATGGTTGTTGCTCAGTTTCTGGTAGTAGCCCAGCGTCTACAAACCCACATGGTTGTTGCTTAGTTTCTGGTAGTAGCCCAGTGTCTACAAACCCACATAGTTGTTGCTTAGTTTCTGGTAGTAGCCCATTGTCTACAAACCCACATGGTTGTTGCTTAGTTTCTGGTAGTAGCCCAGCTTCTACAAACCAACATGGTTGTTGCTTAGTTTCTGGTAGTAGCCCAGCGTCTACAAACCAACATGGTTGTTGCTCAGTTTCTGGTAGTAGCCCAGCGTCTACAAACCCACATGGTTGTTGCTTAGTTTCTGGTAGTAGCCCAGCGTCTACAAACCAACATGGTTGTTGCTCAGTTTCTGGTAGTAGCCCAGTGTCTACAAACCCACATAGTTGTTGCTTAGTTTCTGGTAGTAGCCCAGCTTCTACAAACCGACTTGGTTGTTTCTCTATTTCTGGTAGTAGCCCAGTGTCTACAAACCCACATAGTTGTTGCTCAGTTTCTGGTAGTAGCCCAGCGTCTACAAACCCACTTGGTTGTTTCTCTATTTCTGGTAGTAGCCCAGCGTCTACAAACCCACATGGTTGTTGCTTAGTTTCTCGTAGTAGCCAAGTGTCTACAAACCAACATGGTTGTTGCTTAGTTTCTGGTAGTAGCCCAGCTTCTACAAACCAACATGGTTGTTGCTCAGTTTCTGGTAGTAGCCCAGCGTCTACAAACCAACATGGTTGTTGCTCAGTTTCTGGTAGTAGCCCAGCGTCTACAAACCCACATGGTTGTTGCTTAGTTTCTGGTAGTAGCCCAGCGTCTACAAACCAACATGGTTGTTGCTTAGTTTCTGGTAGTAGCCCAGTGTCTACAAACCAACATGGTTGTTGCTTAGTTTCTAGTAGTAGCCCAGTGTCTACAAACCCACATAGTTGTTGCTTAGTTTCTGGTAGTAGCCCAGTGTCTACAAACCCACATAGTTGTTGCTTAGTTTCTGGTAGTAGCCCAGCGTCTACAAACCAACATGGTTGTTGCTTAGTTTCTGGTAGTAGCCCATTGTCTACAAACCCACATGGTTGTTGCTTAGTTTCTGGTAGTAGCCCAGCTTCTACAAACCAACATGGTTGTTGCTTAGTTTCTGGTAGTAGCCCAGCGTCTACAAACCAACATGGTTGTTGCTCAGTTTCTGGTAGTAGCCCAGCGTCTACAAACCCACATGGTTGTTGCTTAGTTTGTGGTAGTAGCCCAGCTTCTACAAACCAACATGGTTGTTGCTCAGTTTCTGGTAGTAGCCCAGTGTCTACAAACCCACATAGTTGTTGCTTAGTTTGTGGTAGTAGCCCTGCTGCTACAAACCCACACAGTTGTCTTTCTCTCTGGCAGTAACCCTGCTTCTACAAAATGGAACTGGAACAGCCATCCCATATTGTAGAGCAGTAGTCTGTAAATGTCTGGATATAAGAAGGGTAGCATATCTTTGTAGTGTTTTCTTGAGAGATTGGTATGTGTGTTTTTGTGTGGTAGGTAGAGAAAGAGATTTGGTGTGTATGGAAAGAAGAGTGAGAGTGATGTATGTGTGAAGGAGAGAGAGAGAGTGGTGTGTGTTTATGTGTTGGAGGGAGACAGCTTTAAAGTAATGTGTGTGTTAGAGGGGGTAGATAAGAGTGAAATGTGTGTGTGAGTGATGGAGTATTCAGTAAATTATCTCTACCACCTTGTGTTTCAGATTTGTTTGTTATTATAAAGAGAGGTGTGTGTGTTTTAATTTGTTTTGTTTATAAAATTTCCTGGATTTGATTTTTGATCGGCAGGATTGTGGTCCAGACACTGGTGTATGTCAGCTGATCAAATTGGGGCAGTTTTTCCTCAAGAAACAAGGTAATGATAGAAGTGAGGCAGTTGCTTTTTGCGCTCCTAGCCTCTAAGACATTCAACAGGCAAAAACCCCAGCAGTGGCAGCTTGTTTTTTGGGCTGTGGAAAATCCGTGTAAGGTTTTTTTTTTTTTTTCGGAAGCCAGAAGTGGAAATTCAGAATACTCTACAACAAGCAAGTAAATGAAACTACCACTATGTGTGGATTCACTGGTGGACAAGAAGCAAGTAAATGAAACTACCACTATGTGTGGATTCACTGGTGGACAAGAAGCAAGTAAATGAAACTACCACTATGTGTGGATTCACTGGTGGACAACAAGCAAGTAAATGAAACTACCACTATGTGTGGATTCACTGGTGGACAAGAAGCAAGTAAATGAAACTACCACTATGTGTGGATTCACTGGTGGACAACAAGCAAGTAAATGAAACTACCACTATGTGTGGATTCACTGGTGGACAAGAAGCAAGTAAATGAAACTACCACTATGTGTGGATTCACTGGTGGACAAGAAGCAAGTAAATGAAACTACCACTATGTGTGGATTCACTGGTGGACAAGAAGCATGTAAATGAAACTACCACTATGTGTGGATTCACTGGTGGACAACAAGCAAGTAAATGAAACTACCACTATGTGTGGATTCACTGGTGGACACACACACTGGCATAACCCTGCAGCCATTTCTAGTCAGCTGAAAACAAATATTTTGTATGTGTTGAGTGGATTGTATATTCTTTCAGGCATATTGAATTTGTCACACCTAAACTGTACATGTAAATTTTTAGTAATACACACAAATTATTCTGGCCATTTATGATGAAATTAAACCACACAGTTCTCTTATGTCTGACATGTATAGTTCTCTCATGTCTAACATGTATAGTTCTCTCATGTCTATCATGTATAGTTCTCACATGTCTAACAGGTATAGTTCTCCTTATCAGGATTTATAGTTGATATTTCTAGCACATACAGTGCTGATTATATATTTTCTCCCGACAGAATCAATACCACAAGCTACAGATAATGTCATTGTGAGCTCAGTCAACAATCAATCTCTATCAACAGCTGGACACCCTAAGGTGACACTTCTGACTGAAGTCCAGGGCTAGTTTTCTCTTAGTCATTTCTGTATGTCTGTAGTCATCCCTGTATGTCTGTAGTCATCTCTGTATGTCTGTAGTCATCTCTGTTTCTCTAGTCATCCCTGTATGTCTGTAGTCATCTCTGTTTGTCTGCAGTCATCCCTGTATGTCTGTAGTCATCTCTGTTTCTCTAGTCATCCCTGTATGTCTGTAGTCATCTCTGTCTCTCTAGTCATCCCTGTGTGTCTGTAGTCTACTCTGTTTCTCTAGTCATCCCTGTGTGTCTGTAGTCATCTCTGTCTCTCTAGTCATCTCTGTGTGTCTGTATCATCTCTGTTTCTCTAGTCATCCCTGTATGTCAGCAGTCATCCCTGTTTGTCTGTAGTCATCTGTTTCTCTAGTCGTCCCTGTATGTCTGTGTTTTTCTAGTCATGCCTGTATGTCTGCAGTCATCCCTGTGTGTCTGTAGTCATCTCTGTTTCTGTAGTCATCTCTGTTTTTCCAGTCATCCCTGTGTGTCTGTAGTCATCTCTGTTTCTCTAGTCATCCCTGTATCTCTGTAGTCATCTCTGTTTCTCTAGTCGTCTCTGTAGTCATCTCTGTTTCTCTAGTCATCCCTGTTTGTCTGTAGTCATATTTGTTTCTCCAGTCATCCCTGTGTCTCTGTTGTCACCTCTTTTTCTCTAGTTATCTCTGTGTCTGTAGTCATCTCTGTTTCTCTAGTCATCTCTGTATGTCTGTAGTCATCTTTGTTTCTCTAGTCATCTCTGTGTGTCTGTAGTCATCTTTGTTTCTCTAGTCATCCCTGTTTCTCTAGTCATGCCTGTATGTCTGCAGTCATCCCTGTTGTGTCTGTAGTCATCCCTGTATGTCTGCAGTCATCCCTGTGTGTCTGTAGTCATCTCTGTTTCTCTAGTCATCCCTGTGTGTCTGTAGTCATCTCTGTTTTTCCAGTCATCCCTGTGTGTCTGTAGTCATCTCTGTTTCTCTAGTCATCCCTGTGTGTCTGTAGTCATCTCTGTTTCTCTAGTCATCCCTGTGTGTCTGTAGTCATCTCTGCTTCTCTAGTCATCCCTGTGTTTGTAGTCATCTCTGTTTCTCTAGTCATCCCTGTGTGTCTGTAGTCATCTCTGCTTCTCTAGTCATCCCTGTGTGTCTGTAGTCATCTCTGTTTTTCCAGTCATCCCTGTGTGTCTGTAGTCATCTCTGTTTCTCTAGTCATCCCTGTGTGTCTGTAGTCATCTCTGTTTCTCTAGTCATCCCTGTGTGTCTGTAGTCATCTCTGCTTCTCTAGTCATCCCTGTGTTTGTAGTCATCTCTGTTTCTCTAGTCATCCCTGTGTGTCTGTAGTCATCTCTGTTTCTCTAGTCATCCCTGTGTGTGTCTGTAGTCATCTCTGCTTCTCTAGTCATCCCTGTGTTTGTAGTCATCTCTGTTTCTCTAGTCATCCCTGTGTGTCTGTAGTCATCTCTGTTTCTCTAGTCATCCCTGTGTGTCTGTAGTCATCTCTGCTTCTCTAGTCATCCCTGTGTTTGTAGTCATCTCTGTTTCTCTAGTCATCTCTGTGTGTCTGTATCATCTCTGTTTCTCTAGTCATCCCTGTGTGTCTGTAGTCATCTCTGCTTCTCTAGTCATCCCTGTGTTTGTAGTCATCTCTGTTTCTCTAGTCATCTCTGTGTGTCTGTATCATCTCTGTTTCTCTAGTCATCCCTGTGTGTCTGTAGTCATCCCTGTGTTTGTAGTCATCTCTGTTTCTCTAGTCATCTCTGTGTGTCTGTATCATCTCTGTTTCTCTAGTCATCCCTGTGTGTCTGTAGTCATCTCTGCTTCTCTAGTCATCCCTGTGTTTGTAGTCATCTCTGTTTCTCTAGTGTCCCTGTGCGTCTGTAGTCATCCCTGTTTCTCTAGTCATTCCAGTGTCTCTGTAGTCATCTCTGTTTCTCTAGTATCCCTGTGCGTCTGTAGTCATCTCTGTTTCTCTAGCCACCCCTGTTTGTCTGTAGTCATCTCTGTTTCTCTAGTATCTCTGTGCATCTGTTGTTATATCTGTTTCTCTAGCCATCCCTGTTTGTCTGTAGTCATCACTGTTTCTCTAGTCGTCTATGTAGTCATCTCTGTTTCTCCAGTCATACCTGTATGTCTGTAGTCATCTCTTTTTCTCCAGTCATCCCTGTATGTCTGTAGTTATCTCTGTCTGTAGTTATCTCTATTTGTCTATAGTTATCCCTGTATGTCTGTAGTTATTTATGTTTCTCTGTAGTTATCCCTGTATGTCTGTAGTTATCCCTTTTTGTCTCTAGTCATCCCTGTTAGTCTGTAGCCATCTTTGTTTGTGTCTGAAGTCTTCCTGTGTGTCAGTAGTCATCTCTGTCTGTAGTTATCCCTTTGTGTCAGTAGTCATCTCTGTCTGTAGTTATCCCTTTGTGTCAGTAGTAATCTCTGTCTGTCTATAGTTATCCCTGTTTGTCTGTAGTCATATCTGTATGTCTATAGTTATCCCTTTGTGTCTGTATTCATCTCTTTCTGTAGTTATCCCTTTGTGTCTGTGGTCATCTCTGTATGTCTGTAGTTATCCCTTTGTGTCTGTAGTCATCTCTGTATGTCTGTAGTTATCCCTTTGTGTCTGTAGTCATCTCTGTATGTCTGTAGTTATCCCTTTGTGTCAGTAGTCTTCTCTGTATGCCTATAGTTATCCCTTTGTGTCAGTAGTCATCTCTGTATGTCTATAGTTATCACTGTTTGTCTGTAGTCATATCTGTATGTCTATAGTTATCCTTTTGTGTCTGTATTCATCTCTGTCTGTAGTTATCCCTTTGTGTCTGTAGTCATCTCTGTATGTCTGTAGTTATCCCTTTGTGTCTGTAGTCATCTCTGTATGTCTGTAGTTATCCCTTTGTGTCTGTAGTCATCTCTGTATGTCTGTAGTTATCCCTTTGTGTCTGTAGTCATCTCTGTATGTCTATAGTTATCCCTTTGTGTCTGTAGTTATCTCTGTATGTCTGTAGTTATCCCTTTGTGTCTGTAGTTATCTCTGTATGTCTGTAGTTATCCCTTTGTGTCTGTAGTTATCTTTGTATGTCTGTAGTTATCCCTGTTTGTCTGTAGTCATATCCCTGTGTCTGTAGTCATATCCCTGTGTCTGTAGTTATCCCTTTGTGTCTGTAGTCATCTCTGTATGTCTGTAGTTATCTCTGTATGTCTGTAGTTATCTCTGTATGTCTGTAGTTATCTTTGTATGTCTGTAGTTATCCCTGTTTGTCTGTAGTCATATCCCTGTGTCTGTAGTCATATCCCTGTGTCTGTAGTCATATCCCTGTGTCTGTAGTTATCCCTTTGTGTCTGTAGTCATCTCTGTATGTCTGTAGTTATCTCTGTATGTCTGTAGTTATCCCTGTTTGTCTGTAGTCATATCCCTGTGTCTGTAGTCCTTTCTGTGTGTTTGTGTGCGGGTGACTGTGTATACATACCTGTATATGAATGTTGATGTTCGTCTGTCTGTGTGTATGCGTTTACGTGTAAGTGTCGATGTGTGTATGTGGCTGCTTGTATTTGTATGTGTGTCAATGCATGCCTGAATCTATGTATATCTGTATGTGTGTCTGAGTGTGCAGGTGTGTGTCTGTATGCATGCATGAATGTATCTTGTGTGTGTCTGTATGCATGTGTGTGTGTGTGTGTGAATATGAGTATATATGAATGTGGTTGTGTATGTATGTGTCTGTACATAAGTTAGTTGGTGTGTGCCCATGCATTTCACAAGCCATGCTTTTGTGTTTTTTCTTGATATTCATAATATGCATATTATTATATGAATATAACATTCTTTATTGATTAAATACAACTGAAGTGTGAAAGGTGGATGTTTCGAAGGGCCGGATGTAAGACAGGCCTTCGTGCCCAATTTGTGACACTTTGAAAATAAAGTTGGTTGGTTGGTTAGTTTGTTCTATAATCATCCCTGTGTGTGTGTCTCTCTGTGTTTGTGCGGGTAGATGTATATGCCTGTGTGTGAATGTGTTGTTCATCTAAGTTTGTGTGTGTATCTGCGTGTTCTTGTGTGTTTGTGTGTGTGGTTTTCTGTAAATGTCTATGTGGCTGCTTGTGTCTGTGTTTGTGCAAATATCTATGTATATGTGTGTGTGTGTGTCTGAATGTGAGTGGGCGTGTGTATGTGTGCACACAAGTGTGTGCATGCATTTCACAACCCATGCTTTTGTGTTTTTTCTTGATATTCATAATATTTTATTATATGAACATAACACACTTTATTGATAAAATACAACTACTGTGTGAAAGACCTGTGTTTGGAAGGCCAGAATTTATGATGAGCCTCTGTATCTAATTTGTGACCCTTTGAAAATAAAGTTGGTTGGTTCATTCTATAGGCATCCCTGTATGTTTGTAGTCTGTGTGTCTGTAGTCATCTCTGTGTGTCTTTAATCAAATCTGTATCTTTAGTCATATCTGTGTGTCTGTATTCAAATCTGTATGTCTATATTCATATCTGTGTGACTAGTCATCTCTGTGTGTCTGTAGTCATCTCTGTGTGTCTGTAGTCATCTCTGTGTGTCTGTAGTCATTTCTGTGTGTCTGTAGTCATCTCTGTGTGTCTGTAGTCATCTCTGTGTGTCTGTAATCTTTGTGTGTCTGTGGTCATCTCTTTGTGTTTGTAGTCATCTCTGTGTTCATTCTATAGGCATCCCTGTATGTTTGTAGTTGTCCTGTGTGTCTGTAGTCATCTCTGTGTGTCTTTAGTCAAATCTGTATCTTTAGTCATTTCTGTGTGTCTGTATTCAAATCTGTATGTCTATATTCATATCTGTGTGACTAGTCATCTCGTGTGTGTCTGTAGTCATCTCTGTGTGTCTGTAGTCATCTTCTGTGTGTCTGTAGTCATCTCTGTGTGTCTGTAGTCATCTCTGTGTGTCTGTAATCTTTGTGTGTCTGTGGTCATCTCTGTGTGTTTGTAGTCATCTCTGTGTTCTGTAATCGCACCGTCTGTAGTCATCTATGTTGAAGACTTCAGAAATAAGGATCACATACAGGAGACCTGAGTCATGTATCAATATCTGTTTCAGGTCCAGAGAAAAGGCTCATTCTTGTCCAGAGGAAAAGAAAGTCTCGGTAAACTAGCTGAAGTTGTTCAGACAACACATGGTGGCCATGCAGGCAGGAACTCCCGCAATTTTCTCTTCCAGACTGTTGATGGCCCCAAGGATGATGGTGACAAAACTGATGAGGTTGGTCAGTTTTTTTCTTCCCAATTTTATGATTGCCACATCCGTGTCCTTAAAGTGGGACATCCAGTAGCTCTGTTGCGCAGGTATAATGTTACATGCAGTAGCTATCTTGTGGGGGTAGAATGTTGTATACAGCATTTCTGTTGTCTAGGTAAAATATAGTAAACAGCAATTCTGGTGTGTGGGTATAATGTTACATGCAGCAGCTCTGTTGTTTTTTGTAGAATGTTGAATACTGTTGTCTGGGTAGAATGTTGCATACAGTAGCTCTGTTATGTGGTTAGAATATTGCATACAGTAGCTCTGTTATCTGGTTAGAATGTTGTATGCAGTAGCTCTGTTGTATGGTTACAATGTTGTATGCAGTAGCTATGTTATATGGGTAGAATGTTTGTTTACAGCACCTCTGTGTCTGGGTAGAATTTTGTGTGCAGTAGCTCTGTTGTCTGGGTATGTTTTATGCAGTAGCTCTGTTATCTGGGTATGTTTTATGCAGTAGCTCTGTTGTCTGTGGAGAATGTTGGATGTGGTAGCTCTGTTGTCTGGGTGTTTTATGCAGTAGCTCTGATGTCTATGGAGAATGTTGGATGCGGTAGCTCTGTTTGTAGAGAATGTATACAGTAGCTCTGTTGTCAATGAAGAATGTTGTATACAGTAGCTCTGTTGTCTATGGAAAATGTTGGATGCGGTAGCTCTGTTGTTTGTAGAGAATGTATACAGTAGCTCTGTTCTCAATGGAGAATGTTGTATACAGTAGCTCTGTTGTCTATGGAGAATGTTGTATACAGTAGCTCTGTTGTCTATGGAGAATGTTGTGAAGTAGTCAGTAGCTGTGTACAGTAGGAATGTTGTATAGAGTAGCTCTGTTGTCTAGATGAGAATGTTGTGTACAGTAGCTCTGTTGTTTGTAGAGAATGTATACAGTAGCTCTGTTGTCAATGGAGAATGTTGTATACAGTAGCTCTGTTGTCTATGGAGAATGTTGTATACAGTAGTTCTGTTGACTAGAATGGAATGTTGTATACAGTAGCTCTGTTGACTAGATGGGAATGTTGTATACAGTAGCTCTGTTGTCTATGGAGAATGTTGTATACAGTAGCACTGTTGTCTAGGTAGAATGTTGTATACAGTAGCTCTGTTGTCTAGGTAGAATGTTGTATACAGTAGCTCTGTTGTCTAGATGGGAATGTTGTATGCAGTAGCTCTGTTGTCTGGGTAGAATGTTGTATACAGTAGCTCTGTTGTCTGGATGGGAATGTTGTATACACTAGCTCTGTTGACTAGGGAGAATGTTGTATACAGTAGCTATGTTGACTAGATGGGAATGTTGTATACAGTAGCTCTGTTGACTGGGGAGAATGTTGTGTACAGTAGCTCTGTTGACTAGATGGGAATGTTGTAAACAGTAGCTCTGTTGACTTGGGAGAATGTTGTGTACAGTAGCTCTGTTGACTTGATAGGAATGTTGTATACAGTAGCTCTGTTGACTAGGGAGAATGTTGTGTACAGTAGCTCTGTTGACCAGATGGGAATGTTGTATACAGTAGCTCTGTTGACCAGATGGGAATGTTGTATACAGTAGCTCTGTTGACTAGATAGGAATGTTGTGTACAGTAGCTCTGTTGTCTAGATGGGAATTTCGTATACAGTAGCTCTGTTGTCTAGATGGGAATGTTGTATACAGTAGCTCTGTTGACTTGGGAGAATGTTGTGTACAGTAGCTCTGTTGTCTAGATGGGAATGTTGTATACACTAGCTCTGTTGACTAGGGAGAATGTTGTATACAGTAGCTATGTTGACTAGATGGGAATGTTGTATACAGTAGCTCTGTTGACTAGGGAGAATGTTGTGTACAGTAGCTCTGTTGACCAGATGAGAATGTTGTATACAGTAGCTCTGTTGACCAGATGGGAATGTTGTATACACTAGCTCTGTTGACTAGGGAGAATGTTGTATACAGTAGCTCTGTTGACTAGGGAGAATGTTGTATACAGTAGCTCTGTTGACCAGATGGGAATGTTGTATACAGTAGCTCTGTTGACTAGGGAGAATGTTGTATACAGAAGCTCTGTTGACTAGATGTGAATGTTGTATACAGTAGCTCTCTTGTCTAGTGAGAATGTTGTATATAGTAGCTTGGCTGTCTAAAGTGAATTTTTTATGCAGTATCTCTGTTGTTGTATGGCACAGCTGTCATGTGGCACTTTTGTTTTATGATACTGGTTTTTTTTTTTTGGATACTGATGTATAGTATTGTTGTATAGTACTGTTGTGTAGTACTGTTGTGTAGTGTTGTTGCGTAGTACTGTTGTATAGTACTGTTGTGTATGATACTTTTGATGTCTGGCAGTGTTGTTTTACAATACTGTTGTTTTAGGATGTTGTATTGTTTTTCTGTGTTTTTTTTTTTTTTTTTTTTTAATGGCACTGTTGTTGTATATATAACATTGTTGTCATAGAAATGTTGTGTACAGTAGGTCTGTTGACTAGATGGGAATGTTGTAAACAGTAGCTCTGTTGACTTGGGAGAATGTTGTGTACAGTAGCTCTGTTGACTTGATGGGAATGTTGTATACAGTAGCTCTGTTGACTAGGGAGAATGTTGTGTACAGTAGCTCTGTTGACCAGATGGGAATGTTGTATACAGTAGCTCTGTTGACTAGATGGGAATGTTGTATACAGTAGCTCAGTTGACTAGATAGGAATGTTGTGTACAGTAGCTCTGTTGTCTAGATGGGAATTTCGTATACAGTAGCTCTGTTGTCTAGATGGGAATGTTGTTTACAGTAGCTCTGTTGACTTGGGAGAATGTTGTGTACAGTAGCTCTGTTGTCTAGATGGGAATGTTGTATACACTAGCTCTGTTGACTAGGGAGAATGTTGTATACAGTAGCTATGTTGACTAGATGGGAATGTTGTATACAGTAGCTCTGTTGACTAGGGAGAATGTTGTGTACAGTAGCTCTGTTGACCAGATGAGAATGTTGTATACAGTAGCTCTGTTGACCAGATGGGAATGTTGTATACACTAGCTCTGTTGACTAGGGAGAATGTTGTATACAGTAGCTCTGTTGACTAGGGAGAATGTTGTATACAGTAGCTCTGTTGACTAGGGTGAATGTTGTGTACAGTAGCTCTGTTGACTAGGGAGAATGTTGTATACAGTAGCTCTGTTGACCAGATGGGAATGTTGTATACAGTAGCTCTGTTGACTAGGGAGAATGTTGTATACAGAAGCTCTGTTGACTAGATGTGAATGTTGTATACAGTAGCTCTCTTGTCTAGTGAGAATGTTGTATATAGTAGCTTGGCTGTCTAAAGTGAATTTTTTATGCAGTAGCTCGGTTGTCTAAGGGAGAATGTTATATAGGGTTGGAAAGGGGGGGGGGGAGTGGTATCTCTGTTGTTGTATGGCACAGCTGTCATGTGGCACTTTTGTTTTATGATACTGGTTTTTTTTTTTTTTTTGATACTGATGTATAGTATTGTTGTATAGTACTGTTGTGTAGTACTGTTGTGTAGTGTTGTTGCGTAGTACTGTTGTATAGTACTGTTGTGTATGATACTTTTGATGTCTGGCAGTGTTGTTTTACAATACTGTTGTTTTAGGATGTTGTATTGTTTTTCTGTGTTTTTTTTTTTTTTTTATGGCACTGTTGTTGTATATATAACATTGTTGTCATAGAAATGGCAGAGTTACTGTCTGATTGTATATACAATGCCAGTTGCCTCAGTTTTGAAAACTTAACAGAGAAAGTTGCTCTCTCTCTCTCTCTTTTCAGTTGCAGTCAAGAATCCTTGGCAAACGCAAGGCTCATACTGTGTGCATATCTGACACATCCAAGAAAGCCAAACTGGCAAACACATCTTCTAGTACATCTAGGGAGAAGTCAGAGCAACCACAGCGCCACAGCAGCATTTTTGATTTATTTTCAGATGCATAAATATCTGTGTTTTGTACAGTCTGTAGCTTTGTTGTTATTTGATGTGATTCAGCTGGTACCTGTCACATTGTGATTGTGAGTTCTAGTACATGTCACATTGTGATTGTGAAATCTGGTACGTGTCACATTGTGATTGTGAAATCTGGTACTTTTCACACTGTGATTGTGAAATCTGGTACGTATCACACTGTGATTGTGAAATCTGGTACGTGTCACACTGTGATTGTGAAATCTAGTACGTGTCACACTGTGATTGTGAAATCTGGTACGTGTCACACTGTGATTGTGAAATCTGGTACGTGTCACACTGTGATTGTGAAATCTGGTACGTATCAGATTAAATGAAATAATCCAGAATTGACATTTCTGTACTTGGGACATTGACATACATGCTCCATCTCCTTGTCCAGTAACCAACGAAGAGTCAGTAGAACCTGTTGCAGCCTGACTCAATGTTTGCCTGTTTCCTCTTTCAGACCGCCCTGCTCACCCTGGACTCAATGTTTGCCTGTTTCCTCTTTCAGACCGCCCTGCTCACCCTGGACTCAATGTTTGCCTGTTTCCTCTTTTAGACCGCCCTGCTCACCCTGGACTCAATGTTTGCCTGTTTCCTCTTTTAGACCGCCCTGCTCACCCTGGACTCAATGTTTGCCTGTTTCCTCTTTAGACCGCCCTGCTCACCCTGGGCTGAATGTGTCAGTGCATGAATACTGGGCCTGTTTTGTTGCACTGTCAGCTTGTCCAAGAGAGCCCTCACTATTTCCACTTCATCATAACCTAGCTCACCCTCCAGAGCAGCCTGCTCAACAGCCAGCACACTCAGTTCTCCAGGACAGACAATCCATGACATGTTCTTAGTTACCCCACACATCCTAATCTCCAGGTCAGACAATCCATGACATGTTCTTAGTTACCCCACACACCCAAATCTCCAGGTCAGACAATCCATGACATGCTCTAAGTTACCCCACACATCCTAATCTCTAGGACAGAGAATCCATGACATGCTCTTAGTTACCCCACACATCCTAATCTCCAGGACAGAGAATCCATGACATGCTCCTAGTTACCCCACACATCCTAATCTCCAGGACAGAGAATCCATGACATGCTCCTAGTTACCCCACACATCCAAATCTCCAGGACAGAGAATCCATGACATGCTCCTAGTTACCCCACACACCTAAATCTTTAGGACAGAGAATCCATAACATGCTCCTAGTAACCCCACACATCCAAATCTCTAGGACAGACAATCCATGACATGCTCCTAGTTACCCCACACATCCAAATCTCTAGGACAGAGAATCCATGACATGCTCCTAGTTACCCCACACATCCAAATCTCTAGGACAGAGAATCAATGACATGCTCCTAGTTACCCCACACACCCAAATCTCTAGGACAGACAATCCATGACATGCTCCAAGTTACCTCACACACCCAAATCTCCTGGACAGACAATCCATGACATGCTCTTAGTTGCCCCGCACATCCAAATCTCTAGGACAGACAATCCATGACATGCTCCTAGTTACCCCACACACCCAAATCTCTAGGACAAACAATCCATGACATGCTCATAGTTACCCCACACATCCAAATCTCTAGGACAGACAATCCATGACATGCTCCTGATGTGAAGCCATGCAAGCCACCCTGTGTGTAGGATGCCAGTTTCTATTTTCCGAGGCATGGTCTGGAGGGCTGACATTACTGCCTCAATCTCTATTCTCATACTGGATGTAGTGACATTGTACATGAGGCTCTCATTCTCATACTGGATTTAGTGATGTTGTACGTGAGGTTCTCATACTGGATGTAGTGATGTTGTACGTGAGGCTCTCATACTGGATGTAGTGACGTACGTGAGGCTCTCATTCTCATACTGGATGTAGTGACGTTGTACATTAGGCTCTCATTCTCATACTGGATGTAGTGACATTGTACATGAGGCTCTCATTCTCATACTGGATGTAGTGACGTAGTACATGAGGCTCTCATTCTCATACTGGATGTAGTGACATTGTACATGAGGCTCTCATTCTCATATTGGATGTAGTGATGTTGTACATGAGGCTCTCATACTGGATGTAGTGACGTTGTACATGAGGCTGTCATTCTCATACTGGATGTAGTGACGTTGTACGTGAGGCTCTCATACTGGATGTAGTGACGTTGTACGTGAGGCTCTCATTCTCATACTGGATGTAGTGACGTTATACATGAGGCTCTCATTCTCATACTGGATGTAGTGATGTTGTACATGAGGCTCTCATACTGGATGTAATGACGTTGTGCATGAGGCTCTCATTCTCATACTGGATGTAGTGACGTTGTACGTGAGGCTCTCATACTGGATGTAGTGACGTTGTACATGAGGCTCTCATTCTCATACTGGATGTAGTGACGTACATGAGGCTCTCATACTGGATGTAGTGACGTTGTACATGAGGTTCTCATATTGGATGTAGTGACGTTGTACATGAGGCTCTCATACTGGATGTAGTGACGTTGTACATGAGGCTCTCATTCTCATACTGGATGTAGTGACGTTGTACATGAGGCTCTCATACTGGATGTAGTGACGTTGTACGTGAGGCTCTCATTCTCATACTGGATGTAGTGACGTTGTACATGAGGCTCTCATACTGGATGTAGTGACGTTGTACATGAGGCTCTCATTCTCATATTGGATGTAGTGACGTTGTACGTGAGGCTCTCATTCTCATACTGGATGTAGTGATGTTGTACATGAGGCTCTCATACTGGATGTAATGACGTTGTGCATGAGGCTCTCGTTCTCATACTGGATGTAGTGACGTTGTACATGAGGCTCTCATACTGGATGTAGTGATGTTGTACGTGAGGCTCTCATACTGGATGTAGTGACATTGTACATGAGGCTCTCATTCTCATACTGGATGTAGTGACGTTGTACATGAGGGTCTCATACTGGATGTAGTGACGTTGTACATGAGGCTCTCATTCTCATACTGGATGTAGTGACGTTGTACATGAGGCTCTCATACTGGATGTAGTGACGTTGTACGTGAGGCTCTCATTCTCATACTGGATGTAGTGACGTTGTACGTGAGGCTCTCATTCTCATACTGGATGTAGTGACGTTGTACGTGAGGCTCTCATTCTCATACTGGATGTAGTGATGTTGTACGTGAGGCTCTCATTCTCATACTGGATGTAGTGACGTTGTACATGAGGCTGTCATTCTCATACTGGATGTAGTGACGTTGTACATGAGGCTCTTTCTCATACTGGATGTAGTGATGTTGTACATGAGGCTCTCATACTGGATGTAATGACGTTGTGCATGAGGCTCTCATTCTCATACTGGATGTTGTGACGTTGTACATGAGGCTCTCATTCTCATACTGGATGTAGTGATGTTGTACGTGAGGCTCTCATTCTCATACTGGATGTAGTGACGTTGTACATGAGGCTGTCATTCTCATACTGGATGTAGTGACGTACATGAGGCTCTCATACTGGATGTAGTGACGTTGTACATGAGGTTCTCATACTGGATGTAGTGACGTTGTACATGAGGCTCTTTCTCATACTGGATGTAGTGACGTTGTACATGAGGCTCTTTCTCATACTGGATGTAGTGACGTTGTACATGAGGCTCTCATTCTCATACTGGATGTAGTGATGTTGTACGTGAGGCTCTCATTCTCATACTGGATGTAGTGGCGTTGTACATGAGGCTGTCATTCTCATACTGGATGTATTGACGTACTTGAGGCTCTCATACTGGATGTAGTGACGTTGTACATGAGGTTCTCATACTGGATGTAGTGACGTTGTACATGAGGCTCTTTCTCATACTGGATGTAGTGACGTTGTACATGAGGCTCTTTCTCATACTGGATGTAGTGACGTTGTACATGAGGCTCTCATTCTCATACTGGATGTAGTGATGTTGTACGTGAGGCTCTCATTCTCATACTGGATGTAGTGGCGTTGTACATGAGGCTCTCATACTGAATGTAGTGACGTTGTACATGAGGCTCTCATTTTTTATAGTGTCCATCACTTTTGCAGTAAAACCTCGCCCACTCTTTCTACCTCTGACTACCGATCCATCTGTAGCTAAACGTTCTCATTCATATAAATGGTGTTTCGGAGGAATGTGGTTTCAAATCCTCTACCCTGCCAATCCACGGAAGAAATAGAGACGGCTGTGTCTTGATAATAAACGTATACAATGTCCCTGGATACCCAGCTACATCCTAAGAATGGCTCATGAAATAGATTAAACTGAGTATCCACTGGAGACAGAAATAGGAATAGGTGTTTAGAGTTTTAAAAAAACATATTGTATGAAGATAGCAGTCTTGACTGCAGGTTATCTTCCTCAACACATCTAGCAAAGTCATAACAAAGATTGAATGGTATTTTTTAGATAAAAGCATACGTATTTAATTAGTCAAGTAAATCAGTGATGTGATGGCTGAATGGTGAAGATAATAATGAATTAAAATGTATCTATGAATAAGATGATGTGTTTATAATAGATCCTTTCCTTTACACTTGATTGAAAAGAAACCCGTGGAGACAGTACTCCAAAGGATACTCTATTCCAGGTTCTAGTTTGAATGGGGTTGCCCACAACCGAAGGTCTACTCACTTAGGTCTATTCGATCAGCCTCTGCTCTTGTGAGAACTGGAATAGCCCAGACAATTCTGTTTTCTTGAAACAGAAAAGATGGTAAGGTCTGACCAATAGAACGACTACAAGAGAGCCCCAGATCGAGTATGAAGCATAATACAGATGTGTTCTGCTTTACCTTAATGTTGCATCCTGTCGTTTGCGGAGTCTTTTAGTTTTGCCTTCTGGTCTCTTGGGCGATCTTAGTCCTCTCTGTATTCTTCAACATTAAGACATTCTTAATGTTAATTGTTTGAATTTCCCAGCCCGCTCTAGAGTTAAGTACTTTGCTGTCATCTGGCATCTTAGTCTACTCAGTTTCATTGTC